AATCGGGATGCACGCCAGACCGAGGTGCTGCTCAGCCAGCAGGAGCATTTCCTCAGCAAGGACGACACACCGGTTAATCTGGAGCAGGCCGAGAATCAGTTGAAACGACACGAAGCCTTCCTGACCACCATGGAGGCCAACGATGACAAGATCAATACGTTGCTCCAGGTGGCCGACACCTTGGTGGAGAAGGAGCACTTCGATGCGGACAAGATTGGCAAGCGGGCCGAGAACATAACCGGACGTCGGGATGATAATCGCCAGCGTGCGCTGGATCAGCACGAGAAGCTAAAGAACCAGGTGAAGCTGCACGAATTCCTGCAGGATCTGGAGGAGCTGGCCGAATGGGTGCAGGAGAAGTATGTGACATCACAGGATGAGACCTATCGTAGCGCCAAGACCATACACTCCAAGTGGACCAGGCATCAGGCCTTCGAGGCGGAAATTGCGGCCAACAAGGAGCGCCTGTACGAGGCCGAAAAGTCTGCCCAGGAGCTGTCCAAGGAGAAGCCCGAATTCAAGGATGTCATCGAGCCCAAACTCAAGGAACTGGCCAAACAGTTCGACGACCTTGAGGTTCATACCAAGGAGAAGGGCGCCCTGCTTTTCGACGCCAATCGCGAGGTGCTCGTCCAGCAGACCTGCGACGACATCGATTCGTACATTACCGATCTGGAGAAGCAGATCGTCAGCGGTGACACAGCCAACGATTTGACCTCCGTCAATATACTCATGCAGAAGCAACAGGTCATCCAGACCCAGATGGCCGTCAAGGCCCGCCAGGTGGAGGAGATTGACAAGCAGACGGAATATCTGCAGAAGACGGTGCCCGAGGAGAAGATCGAACCGATTGTTGTCAAGAAGACGGCCGTTTTGGAGCGTTTCGAGAAGATCAAGGCGCCGCTACTGGAGCGCCAAAAGCAGCTGGAGAAGAAGAAGGAGGCCTTCCAGTTTTGTCGCGATGTCGAGGATGAGAAGCTCTGGATCGATGAGAAGCTGCCGGTGGCCAATTCCACAGATTACGGCAACTCGCTGTTCAATGTGCATGTCCTCAAGAAGAAGAACCAATCGCTGGCCACTGAAATCGACAACCATGAGCCGCGCATCAATGCCATCTGCAATAATGGGCGCAAACTGATCGATGAGGGTCACGAGGATGCCAAGAAGTTCGAGGCGCTGATCAGCGATCTGACCGCCAAGTGGCAGGAGCTGAAGGATGCCATCGAGAATCGCAAGCGGCATCTGCTCGAATCGGAGAAGGTGCAACAGTATTTCTTCGATGCGCAGGAGGCCGAGTCGTGGATGAGCGAACAGGAGCTATACATGATGGTCGAGGATCGCGGCAAGGATGAGATAAGCGCCCAGAATCTAATGAAGAAACACGAGAATCTGGAGCAATCGGTCGAGGACTATGCGAACACCATACGCCAGTTGGGCGAGGTGGCGCGTCAGTTCAGCAGCGATGATGTATCCAACGGTGATGCTGTCGCCGTCAAGCAATCCCAGCTGGACAAGCTGTATGCCGGCCTCAAGGATTTGGCCGGTGAGCGTCGCGCTCGTCTGAACGAGGCACTGCAGCTGTTCATGCTCAGCCGCGAGGTGGACGATCTGGAGCAATGGATCACCGATCGTGAGGTGGTCGCCGGATCCCAGGAGCTGGGCCAGGACTACGATCATGTTACGCTGCTATCGGAGCGCTTCAATGAGTTTGCACGCGACACCGAGGCCGTCGGTGGCGAGCGTGTGGCCAAGGTCAATGGGATTGCGGACAATCTGATACAGGCCGGGCACTCGGACTCGGCGACCATTGCCGAATGGAAGGACAATCTGAACGAGTCGTGGCAGGATCTGCTCGAGCTGATCGAGACGCGCACCCAAATGCTGGCCGCTTCACGTGAACTGCACAAATTCTTCCATGACTGCAAGGATGTGTTGGGACGCATACTCGAGAAGCAGCACGGCGTCTCCGATGAGCTGGGCCGCGATGCCGGCTCCGTGTCGACGCTGCAACGCAAACATTACAATTTCCAGCAGGATCTGACGACACTGTACTCGCAGGTGCAGCAAATCCAGGAGGAGTCCGCCAAGCTGCAGGATGCCTATGCCGGCGATAAGGCCAAGGAGATTACGAATCGGGAACAGGAGGTTCTGCATGCCTGGGACAATCTGCAGGCCATGTGCGATGCACGCAAACAGAAGCTGGCCGATACCGGCGATCTGTTCCGTTTCTTCAATATGGTGCGCATACTCACCATCTGGATGGAGGATCTGGTGCGACAGATGAACACGTCCGAGAAGCCGCGTGACGTATCCGGCGTCGAGCTGCTAATGAACAACCATCAGAGTCTAAAGGCCGAGATCGATACGCGCGAGGATAACTTTTCGGCATGCATATCCCTTGGCAAGGAGCTGCTCACGCGCAATCATTACGCCTCCGCGGACATCAAGGATCGCCTTAAGCAGCTGAACAACAGTCGCAATGCGCTACTCCTGCGCTGGGAGGAGCGCTGGGAGAACCTACAGCTGAGTATGTTACGCACTTTCTTTACACCCAACTTGATTTAAAAGTCCATTTTTCTTGCTCTTACAGTTCTGGAGGTGTATCAATTTGCCCGAGATGCTGCCGTTGCCGAGGCTTGGCTTATTGCCCAGGAGCCGTACCTGCTCTCCTCCGAGCTGGGACACACCATTGACGAGGTCGAGAATCTGATCAAGAAGCACGAGGCATTCGAGAAGTCGGCCGCCGCACAAGAGGAGCGCTTCAGTGCACTTGAGCGTTTGACAACCGTAAGTGGACGCGGCTTCTCCTCCTTCTTATCCGTAGAAACAAATACTCATAATTCGTATTTCCTCCCTGTCTCAACTAGTTTGAGCTTAAGGAAATGAAACGGCGCCAGGAGCAGGCGGAGGAGGCCGAACGGCAGCGCATCAAGGAGGAACAGGAGGCTAAGGCCGCATCCGAGGCGGCCGAGCTGGCCAAACGTGAGGCTGAGCGTCGTGATGATGTTGATGTGGGCATTGCCCACGATGAAGCAGGTAGGATTAGCTGCCCTTTGGTTTACCAGCACCTCACCTCACCTCGCTCTCTCTAATTATTCCCTTCCCCCCATATATATATATATATATATTAAGCAAGTAGACTTAATCTGAAAAGCGGTTAACCCAGCCGCAACTAACTGTCGAACTAACCCGTTAACGTTATCGTCCATGTGCATAACCAACTAAATATCTGAAAATTCCATCTCATTCACTCATGCTTGCTATCAATAACGTCGGATTAACCCAATCAACTAACCAAACTCAACTCAACTCAACTGAACTCAACTCCAAATCAAATGTTTAACTCAGCCGCTGCAGACACAGCCGAAGACATTGAGCGCGTTGTCGAGACCCAAACAGGTACAGCTCCTGCTTAATTAGCCCAAGGACTACTCCAACTATCACTTCAACTAACTGTATTTACAATCTATACAAACTCATATGCATATATATATATATAGATAGATAGATAGATAGATAGATAGATATAGATATATTTGTCGTGTGCCGTCAACTAATCGAGTTCTTTTCTGTAGAGCGTGGCGCCACACCAGCTGCTGGAGATGGTCAGGAGGGTTATGTGACACGAAAGCATGAATGGGAGTCGGCCACCAAGAAGGCCTCCAACAGATCTTGGGATAAGGTGGGTTAAGTGCATCTTTTGTTCAGATTTTCATTCAAATCTTTACTCAGTTTTTCGTTTTTATATAAATTGTTATTAATTTTTGGCACACAACTTTGTCAGGTTTATATGGCTGCACGAAGCGGACGCGTTTCGTTCTTTAAAGATCACAAGGGTTACAAGAGTAATCCCGAATTGACCTTCCGCGGCGAGCCCAGCTACGATCTGCAGGGCGCTGCCATCGAAATTGCCAGTGATTACACCAAGAAGAAGCACGTGCTGCGAGTCAAGTGAGTCCCAAATCATATTTAAACATAATAAATATTAACAAATGTATCTGTCTCTCTCTCTCTCTCTCTCGCTCTCTCTTTGACAATGCACAGATTGGCCAGCGGAGCTGAGTTCTTGCTGCAGGCCCACGATGACAACGAGATGTCACAGTGGGTATCCGCTTTGAAGGCCCAGAGCGATTCGGCGGCTGTGGCGGCGAGCAGATCCCAGACCTTGCCGGCTACTTCGCAAAAGGACGAACCAAAGCGCAGATCGTTTTTTACTTTAAAGAAAAAGTAAATGCAAATATATAAGAGCAGCTAATTAAAACAAAACAAAAAGAAAGATAACAACAAAAACAAAAACAAAAACAAACAACAAAAATACATATATTTTTTTCATATATTTAATGCATAATTATTTCATAAAAATCTTGCAAAAGAAAGAAGCAAAACGTAAACGTAAACAATTATTATGCTTATCAAATTTGCACGATAAATACTGCTATTATTGATTAAACGTATGTATCTTATTTATTTAAACAAATACAAAGTAATATAAATTTAAAAAAACAAAAAAAAAAACAAACAACAAAAAAAAAACACAAAAATTGAGAACAACTCGTGTATGCATTTCAATGTATTCGATAAATAAACGAATTATTCCTCTAAAGTACACACAAATTGTTGTTGTATTGATCGAAAGTCGGTCTGTTTTTGGTTTGGGGATTGGGCGGGTGCATAAAAGTTGGCTTCACTGTACCAATTGACACAATTGGGGTGGGTTGATTTAACAAAGCCAGGGGAGGGGCACTGCTCGAGGTCATTATAAGTAAAAGTCATAGCAGAAAATGCCAATGGCAGGTCACATAGCCGCAGCCCCAGAAAAGTAATATATGTGCAGTTATTATTAGAAGATTTGACCTGGTTTGTTTGTTGTTTTTTTTTTTTTAAAGCTGCCCGCAATTGCAATTTGAAAGAACTGTAAACAGCCAGCCAGTGCTGCCAGATGTCGCAATCGATAAGTCGGGCGAAAAATGGCACAAAAATCGATAATAGTTTTTTTTTTTTTTTGCAAGCAGGTTGGCAGCCTCGCGTGCCAAGCAGAACAACGGCGACTATTAATTGATTAAATATATTTCACTTAACTTTAGAGAATGCAAACAAAACTAAATTGTATTATTAGTGTATTAAATTAACGATAAGTGATTAAAGTGCGCGGTATTAAGCGAATTTACACATACAAAACACACTACTACCACATGCACACAATGGCAACGAAAACGAAAACTACGATTCATTCTAAGCCACTATTTGTGCGTGTGTCGTGTGTGCGCCCCTGTGTGTGTGTGTAAGCCGTGCGTGTGTGTTGGTCTGACGACATTGACTGAGCCTTCGAACGGGGGCCACCGCGCGCCCCGCATCCTGCAACTAGCAGCTAGTAACCGTTACTCTGCTTCTTCACGTTGTGTCTTGCCACAACAGAACTACAAATAAGAAAAGAAAAGAAACCGAACAAAAAAGAAAAAAAAAAAAAAAAAAAAAAAAACAAGAGAGAAAAAGAAAAACGCCTTGGAATATAACAAATGTGCCATGTTATTGTTGGAAGCGGCCGCGTCTGCTGGATTCCAGTTCTGTGAACAGTTACACTAAGGACACACACATTCCCTCCGCGTGCACACCCCTTCCCCTCCCTCACTATTTCTCTCAACATGTTCAATAGGTTGGTCAACGCTGGAACAACCGCAGCAGCAGCAGCAACAGCAGCCGCGCCTGCTGCGGAAGCGCCAGCACACGTTGCCAGTGCATCCAGTGCTGCCACGCCCACGAGTGATCTCTACCTGCGCCCATTGCCATATTTGGACGCCAAATGGCTGCGCGCCGATCTCATAACCTGCCTGCGCAACGCCGCCGACGGCGCTGTGCTCTGGAATCATTTGATACAGGACTGCGAGCTGGTATCGTCGCCAACGGCGCCGCTGCGCAATGCACACGGACAGCTCTCCTATCTGGGCGACGATGGCAAGCATTATTGCGGCGCCGAGCAGCTGCAGTGTACCTGCTGTCAGCCGGAATACTGTGGCCCGCTCTCCGCATGCAATTGCGACGGCTGCCGGCCACTTGACTCGGACACGGCCATCAAAAAGCTGACATCGGCGGCGGCACAGCAAGCGCTCGGCGGACAACAGCATGCGACGGAGCTGACGCTGAGCGCCTGGCTCTGGAGCCAGCCACCCAATCAGCTGGCGAAGCACGATTGCCAGCGCACACTGATCGCCGAGCTCCATGAGCTGGCGCTGCGCGCCGCCGGCAACTGCCTCTCCGCGCAGCAGCTGCGTCAGCAGCTCTTCATCTACGAACGCTACTTTGTGGCGCTCAAGCGCAACCAGCAGCAGCAGCAGCCGCCACAGCCGCCGCAGCAGCAGCCACAAGCTTCACAGCAGCAGCAGCTGGAGGAATCTCTTGTGCCTGCGCCGCCATTGCCGCCGGAACAGGAGCCGGAGCATGCTGCTTTGGGCCTGGCACGCGTCGGGACACGCGCCGCTCTCAACTTTAGCTTTGCGTTTTTGCGTCGCGCCTGGCGCTCCGGCGAGGACATGGAAATGTGCAGTGAGCTGCTCAGCGAAGCGCTCGAATCGCTGCAGGAGCTGCCCGAGGCGACGCTCTTCGATGCCGCCGCGCAGGTCTCCCCCCTCTGGCTGGAGGTCATGGAGCGTTCGATTAAGTTTTTGCGTCTGGTCGCCCTGGGTGATCCCATGGGCGGACGCTGTCTGGCGCCGCTCACGGACAGGCACACGGCGCTGTGCCTGCTGCTGGAGCTGGGCGTGCAGAAGGGCACGCTGGCGGCCACGCTGGAGTGCGTGGTGCTGCTGCTGGTGCTCTGGGAGAAGGACAACGACAATGGACACGCCCACGGACATGGACATGGCGGCGTCAATGGCGATAATCGCGATATGCCGCGCAAATCGGGCGCTCCCCTGCTGCGCATCCTGCAGCGCTATCAGCGCCTGGGCGCCGATCCAGCGGCCGGCGGCAACAGCAGCTCCGGTTCCGGCGCCAGCGCTAATGTGGAGCCGGCCATGCCCTTGGCCAGCGCCACGGAGACCTTCTTGCGCTTCCTTATGCTGCCCAAGAGCAGCGCTGCAATTGTGGATTTACGCCGCGCGGCCGTTGTCATCATCTCGCATTTGGATCGTCTGGTGCAGCCGCATATGCCGCATCCCACGCAGCTGCTGCCCAGCTGCCTGCTGCGTCCGGCGGCCACGCCCAACACGGCGAGCACCATTTTGGAGCAGCAGCGCGTCTATGCGCTGGGCTGGCCAGCGCTGTCCAAGGAGCAGCAGGGATTCAATGTGGAGCCCGCTCTAAGCTGGACCAGTGCAGCCACCCAACAGCCGCCGCCGGCTCTGCTTACGTGCAAGTTCCAGCTGAAGCAGGTGGCCTGCAGCGAGGATATGGTGGTGCTGCTCTGCCAGGAGGGCAAGCTCTACAATTGGCCCATCGCCAAGCCGGAGACGGAACCCCAACTGCTGGACTTTGCTGAAATAGCCAACGAGACGTTCGTCTCCATAGCCGCCCACTGTGAGGGACGACACTTTCTTGCCGTCGACAGCAACCGTGAGTCCAGCTCCAGCTACTCCTGCATTAGCTCTCCTAATCTCTCTCTCTCTCTCTTCCTTAGACAACGCCTATTCGTGGGGCGTCGGCGACAGTCGTCGCTTGGGCCACGGCGATTGCCATGCTCGCGAGCTGCCCACCAAGATCGAGAGTCTGGTGCGTCGCGTCCAGTCCGTCTACTGTGGCTGCTCCTACAGCGCCGCCATCACGTTGCGCGGCAATCTCTATACCTGGGGACGCGGCACCTATGGCCGTCTGGGCCATGGCAATTCGGATGATCAGTGCATGCCCGCCATGGTGATGGCACTGAAGGATCACCAGGTGCTGGACGTAGCACTGGGCAGTGGTGATGCACACACCCTCTGCCTGACCAGAGGTGGTTTGGTCTATGCCTGGGGCGATGGCGACTATGGCAAGCTGGGCAATGGCAGCTGCAACAGCAGCCTGCAGCCGCTGCTCATCGAGTGTCTGCCACGTGTGCAGCGCGTCTTTGCCGGTTCCCAGTTCTCGCTGGCGCTCACCTGCGAGGGCCAGCTCTACAGCTGGGGCAAGGCATCCTGTCTGGGCCATCAGCTGGTCGAGCGCAACGTGCAGGGCTGCAGTGTGCCCAGACTTATAACCAGCCTGCAGGTAAGAGACCATCACTATCATCTCTCATCATCTTCCACTCTACCTCTACCTATTGTCTATAGTCTATTAGAACCTTATCTTCCTTCTTGATACTTGCTTTAAGGTACATAAACACATTTGTTGAGGGTTTGAGGTGGATTTGAACTCTTCCACAAGTGGAAAATGGGTGGAAATAGTTGTCTAAGATAATATATTTATTTTGCCATTTCACTTTTCCTTGGAAAGACATAATCTTTCCTCCCGCCCCATGAAAAATAGGATTTGGGGTGAATTTGAACTCACTCTCATATGGGGAATATGGGTGGAAATAGTTGACTAATTTTTATACACAATATAATATATTTATTTTCCCATTTCACTTTTGGATTACATTGCACAAGTTCCTTTCTTATTGATTCTTGACTTCCTCGTCCATAATAAATGGGATTTGGGCTGGATTTGAACTCACTCTCACAGGGGGCAAATGGGTGGAAATAGTTGATTAATTACTATGCACAATGCAATTTATTTATTTTTCTATTATATATTTATTTTCACAGCATAAACGCATTGTGCACGTGGCCGTGGGCGTGGCCCATTGTTTGGCTTTGAGCAGCAACGGCGAAATCTTTGGCTGGGGCCGCAACGACAACCAACAGATCTGTCCCGCCTCCGTGTGCAGTGAGCCGCTGCTGCGACAGCCCATTCAGGTGACGCTGCCAACGATGCCCGCCAGCGGCATGGCCTGCACCGCCGTCCAGAGCCTGATCTGGACACAGACCAGCCGGCAGGGTGTGCCGCTGCGTGCGCCATTTGTCATCGATCTGGGCGAACCGACATTCCGGCTGCTCGACCAGTTGCTGGGCTTGTGCAGCGCCAGCGCTGCTCAGGATAATCGCCAGACGCCCAACCAGGAATCGGAGTGCATTGCGGTCGCCTGCCTTAATCTGGTGCGTCTCCAGCTGCTCGCGCTCATCGCCAACGGTGTGGAGCCGCGCAACGTTGGCCTGGCCAGCGGCGGGCGTCTGCTCAACAATCTCAAGACGCGCATACTCAGTCTGGCCGGCGGCAGCCAAGTGCTGCGCACCATCCAAATAGCCGCACAGCAAGCGCTCCAGGTAGGTGTCTTCAGTTGTTTTTTTATTATTTTGTAGCCTCTAATTTATCCTTCTCGTTCTTGGCAGGATGGCTGGAGTGTGCTGCTGCCGACGGCGGCGGAGCGTGCCCAGACGCTGACGGCGCTGCTGCCGTCGGAGCCGGGCCAGGCATGCTCGGCGGGGCATCGCTTTATGACGGATCTGTTGGTCAGCTCGCTGATGGCCGAGGGCGGCCTGGAGACGGCGCTGCAACATGCCATACGGCTGGAGAGCAGCTCCTGCTCCACGGACTGCACAGACGGCGCCCATTTGCCGCTGCTGCAGCTAATTACACGTCTGCTCGGAAACAATGCATCGCTTACACAGAGCCGGCTTTCGCTCACCCTGCTGACCAAGCAACAGCAGCAGCCCGTCGCCGAGGAGGAGCAACAGCGACAGCAGCTGCTGTTGCTAATGCAACAGCACCAACAACAACAACAACAACAACCCGGAACCAGTCCTAGTTTGTGTTTGCTGCATCGTTTTCAGCGTCTGCTGTTGGCGCACATTCATCAGGCCAGCGCCGAGGAGGACACAACGGGCGCAGAGGCGCTGCTCTCCCAATATCTGCACAGCCTGATACCCGCCTGCGTGAGCACGCTGCAGCAGGCGCACGAGCTGGCGCTGCAGTGCCGTCCCGAGTCCAGCGAACTGGGCATCGCTCTGAATCGTGTGCTGCAGGCGGACATCTCGGATGCGCTGCTGAACGAGCTGTTGGTCGGTCTGGTGCTGCTTAAGCGCGACAGGCCACAGTGCCTGGCCAGCCTGCGCTGGGCACGTCTCTGCCTGCCCCTGTTGCGTGTGCTCGACCGCCTGAATCGTGCGCTGGGCGAGGGTGAACTGCGCGACGGCGACGACATGGGCTGGCCGGGCATCATTTGTCGCGGCGGCCCCAAAGGCGCTGCCCCGCCGCCGGCGGCCGCTGATCCCGAGACGCACTATGTTCGCCGCTCCGACATGGACAATCTGTTGCTCGACGGCAGCCACTGCATCATTGTGGCTGGCTACGTCTGCGATCTCGCCGGTTATACGTGAGTCGCTGCAGCTACTTTTTAGATTTAACTTAAACCTTTTTCTTTTATCGACAGCTGCGAATCGGAGAATTTGCGCACTCTGCTCGAGCTGGGTCTGGGCAAGGATTTGACCGCGGAGCTAAGCACACCGCCGTTTCGCGGCGCCATGGAGCAGCTGCTGCAACATCACAAGCTGGGCAAATACCTGGCAAGCCAGAGCGCCAGCGAGGAGAAGGTGAGAGAAAGCGTTTTTTAGTTTACACCCTAAAATGTCTTAATGTATAAGGATAAGCAGATAAGAACATATTCGACCCCATGAGAAAAAGATTGTCATGCTCAGGTTGGTCAGCTGAGTCAATCCACGTGGCAACCCTTGCATACATTCATATATATATATGCATACATACGTGCATACAGGCATGCATACAAACATGCATGCATACATATATGCAAACGTACAGAAATGCATGCATACATGCAACCAAACATACATGCATACAAACATGCATACATACATACATGCATGCATACCTGCATACATACATGCATGCATACTTACATACATGCATGCATACATACATACATGCATGCATACATACATACATGCATGCATACATACATGCATGCATACATGCATGCATACATGAATGCATACATACATACATACATGCATACATACACACATACATACATACATACATACATACATACACACATACATACATACATACATACACACATACATACACACACACACACACACAAACCTACATACCTACACACATACATACCAACATATGAACACACACACACACAAAAAAACACTTCACTACTAGCTCAGCATGAAAAGCTGCAGAGCCTACTTAAATTCTTGAGAATCGAGGAGGAGAGCACTTCGAAAAAATTCGTTATATTTAAATTTGCATCACAGCGACAAATAAGTTTCGTCTGCATTTGTCATTAGAAAACAAACATGTATGCGTATATATACATAAATACAGTCATACATGCATACACTAGCACATGCTCATATATATATATATATTACTTTTATGCTTTCTTAAAAAATACTTGTATATATATATAATTCCACCCGCATATGTGGAAAAATAGTGAAAAACGTTTGAATATGTTTTTGTTTACCATCCAATTTAGTCAGTCAGTCATTCTGTCCGTTAGTCAGTCAGTCAATCAATCAATTAGTCAATCAAGACAAATAGTTATATATATATATTACTATTCCAAGTGTCCGACGCATTCAACCAGACAGATTCAGGTACAAGATTTGGGCTGTGCGCTGATCATCAATCAATCAATCAGTCTATCAATCAGTCAATCTGTCAAAACAGCTTAATATATATAGAGATATATGTATTGTTGCACACTTTTCGAGGGTATCTGCCAGTCGTGTATTGCCATGGCTCTAAAATGTTGCTTCTTCTTTGCAGATTGCCCCGCCGACCGCAACGCGCTTGACGCACTTCAGCTCGGAATGCACGCTGGCACAGCTACTGGGTCTGGTGGCGAATCTGATGTGCAGCGGACCCAGTTTGCAGCCGGCGGAGCTGCAATGCCGTCAGCTGGACAAATCGTCGCTGCTTAGCGGCGGCCTGCTGATGCTGCAGCCGAGCAATCCGTTCGACGAGGAGAAGGGCGAGGCGCGCAGCAGCCACAGCACGGCGGGCAATACGCCCACAGAGACAACGCTGCCAGCGCCGCCGCCGACGGCGCGACGTGCCGCCGCCGAGCAGCTGCAGAGCCGCGTGGACAGCTTCATAGCTGGCCTGGCGGAGGCGCGCCTCAGCGATCCGCTGGTGGCCCACTGGCTGGCGCTCACCGAGCGCTACTGCAAGGCGCACAATTTGATGTGGCACCAGGAGTTCGCCACAGAGCATCCGGTCCAGGAGCTGGAGCGTCTGCTCAGCGCCGTGCTGTTGCGGCATCAGTGCCTCGGCGGCCTGGTGCTCAGCGCGCTGGAGGCAACAGGCGAGCAGCAACAGCAACAGCAGCCGGCGCTGCCCAAGCAGCTGGGCGAGATAATACGACTGGTGCATCAGGCCAAGTGGTCGGTGGTGCGCACACGCCAGCAGCTAAATCGCAGCTACAAGGAGGTGTGCGCGCCCGTTCTGGAACGTTTGCGCTTTTTGCTGTACGAGGTGCGTCCGGCCATCAGTCCGCAGCAGCGTGGCCTGCGCCGGCTGCCCATACTGCAGCGTTTGCCGCGCTTCCGGCTGCTGGTGCGGCGCCTGCTGCAGGAGCTGCGCGCGGCCAAACAACAGCCGGCAGCCAAGCCCGAGGATCTGCTAAATGCCAGCATCCAGCAGCAGCAGCAGCAGCAACAGACCACAGAGCTGTTGATCTACGAGCAACAGGAGCAGCTGCAGCAAGAGAAGAAGCCCAAGCAGCAGAAGCAGCTCGACGAGGAGGAGTCGCTGTTGCGTCGCCTCAACGAACGCCAGCTGCACGCGGATATCGAGCTGGACGCCACACTCATACAGGACATTGTTGACTTTGCGCTGCAGGACAGCTGCGATGTGGAGACGGTGCGCCGTGCCATGTACTGCCAGATGCAGCGCTTCCAGCTGCGCCTGGCCGGGCTGCAGCTGGTGCAGCAGCTGCTCGAGCTGCACGGCCTGCTGGACGCCGCCCAGTACAGCCTGCTCAATGGCTATTTGGGCCTGCATCTGAAGTCCGCTGCGTGTGGCGCCTCGCCGCAGCCTGTGCTCGGCCAGCTGAACATGGTTAGCGCGTATCAGAAGGCACGCCTGCTGCTGGCCCAGGCGCGTGTCCTTGATTGGGCGGTGCGCGAACTGCGTCGTCTGGTCAATCAGGAGCAGCAGGGCGCTGCACGCGGCAAGGATAGCTGCAATCTGAGCACCTATGTGCTGCTCAAGCGTTTGCCGCGCGCCCGCTTCCTGATCAGCATCTTTGGGCTGCTCGCCAAGGAGCTGGGCGCCAATGAGCTCGGTCTGCTCATTAACTCAGGCCTGCTGGGCACTGTGCTCGGCCTGCTGGCGCAGACGGGCGGCGAGGGCGGCGCCAGGGGCAACAATTTGGAGCTGAGCGTGCTCTACGAGGACAGCGTGCTGAAGCAGAAGTGCAACAAGGCACAGCTCAGCGGACCGGATCTGGCGAAGCTCATGAAGATTGGCACGCGAATTGTGCGCGGCGCCGACTGGAAATGGGGCGATCAGGATGGCAATCCGCCCGGCGAGGGACGCATCATCAGCGAGGTGGGCGAGGACGGGTGAGTACAGCAGGCCAGAGCACTCACCAAGAGAACTGTCCAATCTAATAACGCTACTCTCATCCTGCCAATTAGCTGGGTGCGCGTCGAGTGGTATACGGGCGCCACCAATTCGTATCGCATGGGCAAGGAGGGCCAATATGATCTGCAGCTGGCGGATAGCGCAATGAATGTGGCCTCACCCACGGAACCGGAACGCGAGGAGCTGGGCACCATGGAACCGCCGCCCAGCAGCGAATCGCATCCATCCAAGCTGTTGCGCCACTGCGCCGCCAAGCTGCTGCAAATCCTGGCCGTCGGCAGCGGACTTCACGGTGCCTGTCTGGACAAATATGCGCTGCGTGGCGTCACCAGCATGTTTCGTGCCATGCTCGATCCAAAGCCCGCCTTGGCCAATGTTGTCCATTGCCTCAACTGGCTGAATCTCGGTTTCATACGCGCCATTGCAGGTGAGCCGGTTAATCTGCCCAAAAACTGTGCTGTGAAGACCTTGCAAATCTCAGCTTTCCATAAACTTAAAAGCGAGTCTCGGTCAAAATTGTTTTGGACTTTATCAAGCGATGCTCGAAGGAATCGGACATGACAAACTTCGTTTATATATATATATCTATGCTAGAGTATGCCTCATCTGTCTGGTCACCGCAATATTCTCTTCGTCGAGACAGAATTGAAGCTGTACAGAAACAGTTCTGGTTGCGCTTCGTCGTATAAAATTGGCATTCTACCGCTCCAGCAGATCTCCGACGATTGATCTTCCTTAACTATTCGTATTCCTTTATCCCTATCCCTTCGTCCCTAGTCCCTATCCCTATCCCCTAGTCCCTATCCCTATCCCCTAGTCCCTATCCCTATCCCTTCTTCCTTAATCCCTATCCCAATCCCTATCCACATTCGTTCTTCCTCTATCGCTATCCCTTCCTCTCTCCCTATCCCTTCTTCCTCTCTCCCTATCCATTCTTCCTCTAACCCTATTGCCTACTCCTCCGTCCATCTTCCTCTATCCCAATACCTTATTCCTCCATTCCTATCCCTTGTTTTTCTATTCCTATCCCTTCTTTATCTTTCCCTATATCCTTGCAGAGGATATCATAATGCGACCCCTTAAAGTATATATATATTTTTGATCAGCATCAACAGCCGAGTCGATATAGCCATGTCTGTTCGTTTCTCTGTCGATCCAGCCAGTCTGTCCTTCTGTTCCAGCTGCTGGACAGACGCACTGGGCCCTCCTCTAAACTGTCTAAGCTCACAACTCTCTCCTCACAACTCTTCTCTTCTCTCCTGCTCTTCCAGGCGACTGTCCACGCTTGTGCCTGGAACTGAGCGCTCCGAACTGGCTGTCGTATTACTTTGGTCTGCTGGAGCAGCCGGCGGGCAGTGAGCGTGGCGTCTATCGGCAGCTGCACTGTCTGCGCCTGCTGCAGACCATTCTGGCGGCATGGGGCCAGGAGGAGGAGCCGCGCATGGCTGCGCTGGTGCGTCAGCTATTTGGCACACTTGGACGCATCGCGCTGCACTGTCCCGGCGATGTGACGCTGCAACCTCAGGAGGGCGGCAAGTCGCGCGTCCTGCTGACCGCCTCGCATTCGGGCAGCGTAGCCGAGGAGCTGGTCGGTCTGCTGCGTCGCCTGCACACGCTGCCCCACTGGAATGCGGTAATAAATTCGTTTCTGGCCCAGAAATTGTGCGTCGCCGCGGAGCTGCTGCAGGGCGAATCCCAGCTGTTGCCCCAAACGCCGCTGGACACGGAGCACAGTCTAGTGCTAGGTGTTCTCAGCGCCATGGGCGGCTATGATCTGCGACCACGCGTCGGACTCCATTGCTTTAACGAGGGCAGCCACATGATCATCGCCAGCTTTACGCACAAGGGACGCTGCCTTCTGGCGCACAGTGCTCCGCCCGCAGGCAGCCTATCTGCCCAGGGTTTGGTCAAGGTGCCGCTGGCCACGGTGCTGCCCCAGCTGGATCACAGCTGCTTCAGTCTGACTCGGCTGCCCATGAACGAGATGCTTCTAAATGCCTGGACGGTGCTGTTGTATGGCGCCGCCAGCTGCAGCAGCTCCTCAGCCGCCAACTGGGAGCTGCTCAACGCTGGCGAGGGTCGACTCGATGTCCGGCTGCTGCGCAGCCAACAGCTACAGCTGGCCGTGCTGCACACCAACGGCGTGCTCTATCGCCATCAGGCGGCCCTTCGCAAGATACTCAAACAGCGGGCGCCCGCCGGCGGCTATAATGGCAGCAACGAGGAGGCCGACACAGAGCAGGAGCCGGAACAGGAGCAGGAACAGCTACAAAAGTTGCAGCAAACGGATGTACGCAACGGCAACAGGTCTGGACAGGATTTGTCAGTCTATTCCGTCTATTTATTTACTTATCTCACACTTCTTCTGTCCTCTTGCAGCCAGCAACCGGAGCAACCGGAACAGCTGCTCATCCAGTGCCTGCTGCTGCGCGCCACCCAACCATCTCCGGTTAAAGCCTGCTATGGCTACACGGAGCTGGCCACTGCGGCGCTCAACTGTGTCCAAACGCTCGCCAGCCAGGCGCATCAGCAGCTAATGAATGCCGAGAATGAGCTGCAGCCGCTGCTGCTGCCCAGTCCCGCACAGCCCACAATGGTGCACGGTATTGCCGTCTATAATGTGGCCAAGGAGCAGACGGCGGCACCGGAGACGATGCAGCCGCAGGCGCTGCCTGTCGCCGCAAGCGATGCGCAGCTGATTGAACAGATTATGGAGATGGGCTTTACGCGACGCAATGTGGCGTTGGCCCTGAAACAGCTATCGCTGCAGGCGGAGGCCATGCCGACGCCCGAACAGATTGTCCAATGGATACTCGAGCATCCCGATGTGTGCGCCAATACGATTGACGAGGAGGCCGCCAGCCTGGAGACGGAGCAGCGACCAGCCCACGGAAACGGAAGTGGTAGCAACACAACGAGCAGCAGCACAACGAACAGCAGCACAACGAGCAGCAGCAGCAGCAGCAGCTCCTCCTCGGACACTGTTGAGGATCAGATGGTGCAAAAGTTTGAGACACGCAAAGATTTCCAAACGGCCGATCATTATGCGCTCTATGTGCGCGGCCTGGTACGTCCCGGCATGCTTGTGCGCTGCTGTCGCGACTTTGAGGAGATCAAGCAGGGCGACATGGGCAATGTACTGATCGTGGACACCGAGGGATTGCACGATCTCAATGTGCAGGTCGATTGGCGCAATCATGGTAGCACCTATTGGGTATGTTTTGTTCACATCGAGCTTGTCGAGTCTGCTGCTCATTTATTGCCCCTGCCACGCCCACCGCCGGCAATAATAGTGGGCGCCAGGGTAAGATTGCGCTCGAACGGACAACTAATGCGGCTGGGCGGCTCACGCAGCCAGCCGGATTACGGCATAGTCACCGCAATGCGCGGCAAACAATTGACTGTGGAGTTTCCGGATCAGCCGCATTGGCAGGGACACATCAATGAGGTGGAACCGGCGCAACCAGTTTCCGCGCCAGCTGCAGCTACTGCCCAGTCGCAGCAGCCGGCGCCACAGCAACAGCAGCTGCCGCCGGCGGCCGCTCAGCTGGACTTGATTGAGGATTGGTCGCGCTGCATCCGTTCGCTGAGCGTCAGCTCGAACGAGTCGGCGGCCAAGCATCTGCTCGACGGCAGCGGCCTGGCCTGGCAGAGCTGCTCAAGTGGACCCTGTCGCCATTGGATACGTCTCGAGCTGCACGACCGTATTCTGGTCCATAGCCTGGCGTTGCGCGTCAGCCCCGAGGATCATTCGCATATGCCGTCGCTGCTGGAGGTGCGCGTCGGCGAGTGCATCGATAGCCTCAAGGAGTACACCTGGATACCGGTCGCAGCGGGCGCCACTCGCGTCCTACTCATGCAGCAGGCAACACAGTATTATCCCTGGATCGAGATCGTGATCAAACAGTGCCAGAACAATGGCATCCAGTGCAAGGTGCATGGCCTCCAATTCATTGGACGTCGACAACAGCCGGACATACAGCATATGCTGGCCAATGCGCAGTTTTTGGCCTGCGAATATGGTGGCGGCGCCGGCGCCGGTGGAGCAGCTGCAGCAGCCGCCGCCGCACCAGCCACAGCTCCGGCGGAAACCACGTTGACGACGACGACGACGACGACGGCGAGCAGCAGCAGCAGCAGCGGCGGCGGCGGCGGCCATGCGGAACAGGAGCTGCCCTGCACGGTGATGGTCTGGGGCCTCAACGACAAGGAACAGCTGGGCGGCTTGAAGGGCTCCAAGGTGAAGGTGCCCACCTTTTCGCAGACGATCAGCCGCTTGCGGCCCATTCATATAGCCGGCGGCAGCAAATCGCTGTTTGTGGTCAGCCAGGATGGAAAGGTATATGCCTGCGGTGAGGGCACCAACGGACGCCTCGGCCTGGGCGTTACCCACAATGTGCCGCTGCCCCATCAGCTGCCCGTGCTGCATCAGTATGTGGTCAAGAAGGTAGCAGTTCATTCGGGCGGCAAACATGCGCTTGCCCTAACGCTTGACGGCAAGGTCTTTAGCTGGGGCGAGGGCGAGGATGGCAAGCTTGGACATGGCAATCGCAGCACCCTGGACAAGCCACGCCTGGTGGAGGCGCTGCGCGCCAAAAAGATACGCGACATTGCGTGCGGCTCCTCGCATTCGGCGGCCATCAGCAGCCAGGGCGAACTGTACACGTGGGGCCTGGGCGAGTACGGCCGACTGGGCCATGGCGACAATGCCACACAGCTGAAACCGAAGCTTGTGACCGCGCTTCATGGACGTCGTGTCATTCAGGTGGCCTGCGGCAGCCGGGATGCCCAGACACTGGCGCTGACCGAAGACGGCGCCGTCTTTAGCTGGGGCGACGGCGACTTTGGCAAGCTGGGACGCGGCGGCAGCGAGGGTTCTGCCACGCCGCACGAAATCGAACGTCTCTCCGGCATCGGTGTCATCCAGATTGAGTGCGGTGCCCAGTTTAGCCTCGCATTGACGCGCGCCGGCGAGGTCTGGACCTGGGGCAAGGGCGACTACTATCGGCTCGGTCATGGCGGTGATCAGCATGTGCGCAAGCCACAGCCCATTGCCGGATTGCGCGGCCGCCGGGTCATCCATGTGGCTGTCGGAGCATTGCACTGCCTCGCCGTCACGGACGCCGGCCAGGTGTATGCCTGGGGCGACAATGATCATGGCCAGCAGGGCAGCGGGAATACGTTCGTGAACAAGAAGCCCGCCTTGGTGATTGGACTGGATGCGGTGTTTGTGAATCGTGTCGCCTGCGGCAGTTCCCATTCGATGGCCTGGGGCTTGCCCAATGCCAGTCTGGACGAGGAGAAACGCGGCCCCGTGCCCTTTGGCAGCACACGTGATCCGCTCGGCGGCAGCAGCCTCGGCATCTACGAGACAGAGACGCCGCCAACGGTGCACATGCACACAACGCCGGATGTGGCCGGCAAGCCGGATGCTCGACCCAGCACGTCGGCGGGCGCCGCAGCAGCGGCGGCGGCAGCGGCAGCAGCAGCAGCAGCAGCGGCTCCTGCCTCTGGCTGTGCCACTCAGCCGAGTCTCAGCGAGAGCCTGACACTGGAAACACCGGCGGCACGGCAAGCGGCACTGGGTCATGTGCTGCGCGCGATGAGCATCTTGCAGGCGAGGCAGCTCATTGTCGCGGCGCTAACCAGCCACAGTAAGGTCAACTACAAGGAGACGACTGCACGCCAGCTTGAGGAGCAGCTCAATACGGCAGCGGGCGGCGGAGGAAGCGGCGGCGGCGGCAGCGGCGTAGTAGGAGCTACTGCTGCTGGCGGAGCAACGGGCATAGCTGCTGGAGCAGCCGCTGGAGCGGGAACGGCAACCATAGCCCAGGGCGGCGGCGAGGCGCCGGCAGATGCCAGCGATGCAGCGTTGCTGGCAGCAGCGGAACAGCATTCACCCGATGAACCCGGCCCGGCACAGCTGGCCGGGCAAGTGCCAAGCGCGGGTCCGTTGAGCGCCTTCCAGAGCCTGACCGGCTCGCTGACCATGTCGGGCATGTCGGCGGGCTCGCATTCGCGCATGTCCGCCAGCGCCATGTCCGTAATGGCCGCCACGATGACACAACAGGAGGAGATGCTGGCACAGTTTACGCACAATCATGGACTGGACGATTTTGGTGCTTTGCTTCAGGAGCCGGAGGCCAAGTCTCTGGTCGAATTGCTCAAGCTAGCCGTTTGCGGCCGTTGCGGTCCGCCGAGCACGGCACAGACCATCGCAGAGACCCTAATCTCGTTGAGCAGCAATGCGGGCATTGCGGCCATGCTGCTGGAGACCTGCATCACCGAACTGGAGGATCTGTGCACGTCGCGCCATTGCCTGGGCAAGCTGCCCAAGCCCATTATGCAGGAGAGCAGCCATCCGTATGTGGACAATATGAATGTGAGCGGCACGGTCCGGATACCCGGCGCCGAGATGTTGCGCCTCGAGTTCGATAGCCAGTGCAGCACAGAGAAACGCAACGATCCGCTGGTCATTATGGATGCGGCCGGTCGTATGCTGGCCATGCGTTCCGGCCGTGAATTTGCCCACTGGGCACCAGAGATACGTGTGCCCGGCGATGAGCTGCGCTGGAAATTCTGCTCGGATAGCTCGGTGAATGGCTGGGGCTGGCGCTTCTGGGTGCACGCCATCATGCCGGCGGCGACGCTCGACGAGAGCGGCTCCGATCGTGCCGTTCTCTCGCAGCCATCGATGGCCCTCGTCATGGCGCTGCTCGATGCACGGCTCGCTCCACGCCAACCCCAGGTGCTGCTCCGATTGGCCGCCGCCCTAGCTGCGTGCGCCCAATTGGGCGCCTTGAGCACCGCACAGCGCATTTGGGCTCTGAAGAAACTGCACGCGGTGCTGTTGCTGGAACAGGCACCACGCCCACAGGAGCCGGCACTGGCTGCTATACTGTTGCCGCTCATTCCGGAGCTGCTGCGTCAATATGAGTACGAGGAGCCGCAGGTGCGCGGTGGCATACATCTGATGCATTCGGATTACTTTAAGACCCTGGCGGCGCTCGCCTGTGATATGCAACTGGATGCGGCGCTGCCCACCACCAGCAGCAGCAGCAGCGGCGGCAGCAGCAGCAGCTGCTCCACAGCGACAAGCTGTGCCGTGGCTGCCGCCACTGGCTCCTCCTGCTCCGCAGCCGCCGCCGCCTCCAGCTTGACTGCAGCCAATGGCTCCGGTGATGTGCACAAGTGGGCGTGGTTCAAGCGATATTGCATCGCAGTGCGCGTCGCCCAAGCGCTAATCCGACGCACAGAGCTGCCGCGCCAATTTTGCCTGGAGGTGCGCAAAAAGTTTGCCGAAATGTTGCCACCGTCGGCTCCGGCGCCCGTCACCAGCTGCCCATCGCCGGGCACCTCGCTCATCAACTCGGCCACTTCGCTCTCCTCCAGCACCGTGAGCAATGCCTCCGCCACAGAGCAGCAACAGCAGCAGCAACAACAACAGTTGACGCCGGAGCTGCTGCTCCTGGAGCAAGTGCAACAACAGCAGCCGGCACAACATCAACAAACATCGCCGGCGCCTTTGCAGCTGCTGCTGCACGAGGATCACACGCTGTTCCAGGCGCCGCACGATGCCCAGCTGCTGCAGTGGCTCAATCGGCGCCCGGATGACTGGGCATTGAGCTGGGGCGGCGCCAGCACCATTTATGGCTGGGGACACAATCATCGCGGCCAATTGGGCGGACTCGAGGGCAGCCGCATCAAGACTCCGACACCATGCGAGGCGCTCAGCCTGCTGCGTCCCATTCAGCTGGCCGGCGGCGAGCAATCCCTGTTTGCCGTGACGCCGGATGGCAAACTGTTTGCGACGGGCTACGGTTCCGGCGGACGACTCGGCGTCGGTGGCAGCGATTCGTGGGCAATACCCACGCTTCTCGGTTCGCTGCAGCACGTCTTTGTCAAGAAGGTGGCTGTCAATTCCGGCGGCAAGCATTGCCTCGCTCTGACCACGGACGGTGAGGTCTATGCCTGGGGCGAGGGCGAGGACGGCAAGCTCGGACATGGCAATCGCATGAGCTACGATCGACCCAAGCTGCTGGAGCATCTGAATGGGATGAGCGTTGCGGATATTGCGTGCGGCAGCGCACATTCGGCGGCCATCACGGCCAGTGGACACGTCCTGACCTGGGGCAAGGGCCGTTACGGCCGGTTGGGTCATGGCGATTCGGAGGATCAGCTGCGTCCCAAGCTGGTGGAGGCGCTGCTCGGCTATCGGGCCATTGACATTGCCTGCGGCTCGGGCGATGCGCAGACGCTGTGCATCACGGACGACGACAACGTCTGGAGTTGGGGTGACGGCGACTACGGCAAACTGGGACGCGGCGGCAGCGATGGCTGCAAGCTGCCCTACAAGATCGAAAGCCTGGCTGGCCTGGGCGTCATCAAGGTCGAGTGCGGTTCACAGTTTTCCGTTGCGCTGACCAAATCCGGTGCCGTTTACACCTGGGGCAAAGGCGATTTCCATCGGCTCGGCCACGGCTCGGTCGATCATGTGCGTCGACCCAAAAAGGTCGCAGCGCTCCAGGGCAAAAAGATCATCTCAATAGCGACCGGTTCGCTGCACTGTGTCGCCTGCAGCGATGCCGGCGAGGTCTACACCTGGGGCGACAACGATGAGGGCCAGCTGGGCGATGGCACCGTTACGGCCATCCAAAGGCCACGCCTTGTCGCTGCGCTGCAGGGCAAGCACATTGTGAAGGTCACGTGCGGCTCGGCGCATACGTTGGCCCTGTCCACGTCGCAGCTGAGCGAACGGCTGCGTCCGCTGCCCAATCCCCCGCTGGAATATGATTTGGTGCGCGATCTGGCGCCGGAAGCGCTGCACGCTCGCCTCATCCTGCTGCATCATTTCTCGGAGCTGCTCTGCCCCTGCCTGGCCATGCTGCCCATTGCCGGTGATCTCAGTCTGGGCGCGCTCAAGGATGTGCTCGTCTACAACATCAAGGAGGCCGCCTTTCGCAAGGTCATCCAAACGACAATGGTGCGCGATAAGCAGCACGGACCCGTCATCGAACTGAATCGCATCCAGGTGAAACGATCGCGTAGCCGCTGCAATGGACTCGCCGGCATCGATGGCATGAAGAGCGTATTTGGTCAGATGGTGCAAAAGTTGCCGCTGCTCACCCAGGAGGCGCTCGCCCTGCCGCATCGCGTCTGGAAGGTCAAATTTGTTGGCGAGAGCGTCGACGATTGCGGCGGCGGTTATAGCGAATCCATTGCCGAGATGTGCGATGAGCTGCAGAATGGCAGTGTTCCGCTCTTGATAAGCACACCCAATGGGCGGGGCGAGGCGGGCGCCAATCGGGATTGCTTCCTGCTGGATCCAACGCTCACCTCCGTACTGCAGATGAACATGTTTCGTTTTCTGGGCGTGCTCATGGGCATTGCGGTGCGCACCGGTTCCCCCCTCAGTCTCAAGTATGTAGCTCCCTTTACCTGGAGATCACTATTAATTCTTCCCCCTCCTACTCCTCTCTTTAGCTTGGCGGAGCCCGTATGGCGACAGCTAACGGGCGAGCCGCTGCGTCCCACGGATCTCACCGAGGTGGATCGCGACTATGTGGCCGGACTGCTCTGCATCCGTAACATGGACGATGATGCGAAGCTCTTCAATACGCTGGAGCTGCCATTTTCGACATCGTCGGCCCGTGGCCACGAGGTGCCGCTGTCCACCCGCTATACGCACATCTCGCCCAGAAATCGCGCCGAATATGTGCGCCTGGCGCTCGGCTTTCGGCTGCACGAGTTCGATGAGCAGGTGAAGGCCGTGCGCGACGGCATGTCCAAGGTGATACCTGTGCCGCTGCTCTCCCTCTTCTCGGCCGCCGAGCTGCAGGCGATGGTCTGCGGCTCACCCGATATACCGTTGGGCCTGCTCAAATCGGTGGCCACCTACAAGGGCTTCGATCCCAGTTCGGCGCTGGTCGGCTGGTTCTGGGACGTCATGGAGGAGTTTACCAATCAGGTGAGCCACAGTTATCAACGAGCAGCAGGATAACCTAGCCTAGAAATGATAAAAAAAAAAACCCATTTCGATATCGATTCTTATCGATTTTATGGATACGCAGCAAGTTATCGATAATTTGGAGCTCTCCAGACGGTCAGATGCCAGTTGGACATGGCCATTGATCTCTTTCGGAGATGCTTTCCTCCAATTAATTATGGCCTGGTTAATAATTATTGATTTCGATATCGATTCATATCGACTTTATGGATACGCAGCAAGTTATCGATAATTTGCAGCTTAATATCAAATATTTGGATCTTGAAGATGGACTCGACTTTATGCTATACATACTTGCTTAATCGGATCGGAGCTGCTTCCTGCCACTTAATTATGGCCCGTTTAATAAATATTGTTGTGTATTTCGTTTCAGGAGCGTTCGCTGTTCCTGCGCTTTGTGTGGGGAAGAACGAGGCTGCCGCGCACCATTGCCGACTTTCGGGGACGCGACTTTGTGCTGCAGGTGCTCGAAAAGAATCCGCCCGATCATTTTCTACCCGAGAGCTATACCTGCTTCTTTCTGCTCAAAATGCCGCGCTACTCCTGCAAGGTAAGCAATCCCTGAATCCTCGCCAGACTTGATTTATAATTATCTTTATCTTTCGTAGGCTGTGCTGCTGGAGAAGCTCAAGTATGCGATACACTTCTGCAAGAGCATCGACACGGATGAATATGCGCGTGTGGCCATGGGCGAACCCACCGAGGCGACTGGCAGCGAGGACAACAGCGATCTCGAGTCCGTTGCCAGTCACGATGGCTGAACGCAATTATCGATAACAACCATTAATCGCAAATCGAAATGAAAACAAAAACCAAAAAAAAAAACATAATTTATGCTGCTGCTGCTGCTGCTGCTGCTGCTGCTTGGCATATGATAAACGCAACGCACTTCAAACGCATTAGATTAGCCGCCGATTAGCCGATTAGCCGATTAATCGATTAGACGATTAGTCGATTATTTGCTTAGCACACACACACACAGAGACAGACTTGCCAGATCTGCAGCACATAGACACACAAACACACACACAGAGACAAAGACAGCTTGGTAGAGAGCGGAAGGAGAATATTGAAAAGGATACTGGAAACTGTTGATAGAGCAGAGACACGAAACCAAAAAGCAAATTAAGCAAACGTTAAATGTTATTTCCATATTGCATAAATGTTAGTTTAAAAAGTCCAAACACACACCCATACACATATAAATAATATATATAAATGAGAATACCATAAAGCTATATATATATATATATATATATATATATATATATATATATATATATATATATATATATATATATATATGCGTATATATGTATACACAATTATGCTTACATAATATAGCTTACAGTTGGCAGGAACTGCCCGCCATTGATATTAAATAACAAATATTGATTATTGATAATAACTGCTATAACGATAACGATAACGATATCGATAACGATAATATGCTAACGATGATCAATTCTAGTTGTGTGTTTTCGGCAAAGTAAAATACAAAAACATAATAAAATTAACAATGAATATGCAAGAAATGAAAAACATCTGAAATCTGAAATAAAATGCAAATACTTGAAAATTGAACGAATTGTTTTGATCAATTAATCCTGAACTTTCACAACAAATTGCTTGCCCAACACTGTTTTAACGGTTTCTTTGCTCAAGCGAAAATGTAAATACTTAAAAATTGAGGGAACTGTTTACACGAATTAATCGATAACTTTTTAGGCAACAAATTGCTCGTTGCTCAACACTGTTTTAACGGTTTCTCTGGTGAAACGCGTAAATTGTGTGGTTAGAAACGAATGAAAAATGAAATGAAGCAAAAAAAAAACGAATATTGCTTTAAGTACAAGCGAGTGCGCGACTAGAAGACACCCAGTATATGCATATATCAGCTAGGTCAAGTGCATTCGCAAGACTTAACTCAAATAATTGTATTAGCAACTTATCCTGGTCAAAGTACGTGCACGTGGCTAACAAAGGATTCTGAAAGGTGAGTTTATTCTTCATCTATGAATACTATGAAGATTTGGTATAGATTTGCAGGCCTAGTCCCAATGGACTATAGATCCTGCTCACTGGGAATTTTGTTGGATAAGCCGCAAACCCCTGACCCCCGGCTAACCAAGCGTTGAGCTAATCCTTCAAACAATCTGTCACTCTTCATAGTCCTCAAAGAACATTTCGGAGGCAAAGTCGTCGTCGAAGCAGCGATACCGTGTCGGCGGCTGCGAAGGCGGCTGCGACGGCGACTGTGAGGTTGACTGCAGCTGCGACTGTGGCGTTGATTGCGATTGCGTCTGACCCGTGGCCTGGGCCTGGGCCTGCGCCTCGGACTCGGACTCGGTCTGTTTCGCTTCGGCAGGGTCATCCGTGTCGCTGCTGGTATTGCTGGGCACACAGGCGCGGGGCGCAGTACGCCGCTGGCGACTCAGCATCTGGCTGTCCGACTCGTAATCGCAGGCCTCGTCCTCCACCTGATCGCCGGAGTCGAGTATATCGTTTGCCCCGCCCGGTGTACAGCAGCTGCAGTTCTCCTCGCTGTCGCCGCTGGCAGCGGTTGGTGTGTCGCCCATGACGGCGCCAATCACATTGCGCAGAACACGGGATGCGGCCTCCTGCATCTGCGAGATAAGCTCACGCGCCGGATGCGCCTCATCCAATTGCGATGCATTGCAGCTCTGGCGCTGTTGCTGCTGTTGCTGCTGTTGCTGCGTCAGCGGATGCTGTGTGTGCTGCGGCTTGCCCGAGTCCAGGTGCCGGTGCGGATCCTCGCAGGGGCACTTGCGGCGAGCCGGCGCACTGCTCGCCGGCGGCGGTGGCGGCGGCGGCTCACTGTGTCCATTGCAGCCATCGTCTCTGGGTCGTCGCTCCCGGCAGACGGCGCAATCTCGATCCGGCGGCTCAACGATAATCTCTGAGTTCGGCAGCTTCTCGTCACAGCTGCAGCTCGGCTCAAATGTCGGCTCCTTGGCAGCTGGCGGTTGATCCTTGCCGCGACGCACCCGATAAAACAAATAGACGAGCGCCAACGTAGCATACGTGGCCTTCGCAACCTGGACGAGGACGAGGATGAGGTTCAGGTTGAGGACGAGGATGAGGCTCAACAGGAGTCGAATAACCTGGTCTTAAACTTACATTCGCACGACCGTTCATTGTGGTGCTATTGAAATACTTCTTGAAGCCCTCGGAAGCCATCGCGGACAAAGCAATTAGCTTGGGGATTTAGTCTTGTCTGTGCGGGTTTTTTGGGGGAGTCTGGGTCCGGGTCCGGGTCTGAACTGAACGTCCAAAATCAAACTGAACTACCTGCCGAATGAAGCATTCACCAGCTGCCTACTTGGTTCAAAAATCGAAATACACAAGTTTCAGAGTGGGCGACTGGCAGATACCACGTACTTTTTCCTACCCCCCGTTTCCAAATGGAAAATTAAATTCTTCATTAAATGTAATGTTTCTCAAACGAACGTTATAAAATTATCTCGGGAATAAAGGATTGTAAAACGATAATTATCGATGTTCGATATATGCACTAATTTATCGATATGAGATGATAATGAAATAAATTGCAGCACACATATGACAATATGCGCAATCTGACAAATATTGCCAATTGATATTTATCGATTTTCGATACATTCAAGAATTTATCGATAAAATGAAATAAATTTGAGCTACGTATGATCTACGAGCTTTTTTATTAAAAATTTGAGGTCTCTGCACCTTATCTGCAAGAGTTTATTAAAAGAAATCGATATTTATCGATTTAGAATTTGAAATGGAAAAGTAATAAATTTACAACAGTTAAAGGACGAGAGAAATAAATGCGCAAGGCTGCAAATTGATATTTATCGATTTTCGATATGTGCACGAATTTATCGATAAAACGAAATAAAGAAAGTAAGCTGGATGCGTACATACAAAAGAACGATTTGATCGATGCTGATTACGAATATATATTGATATTGATTTACGACACTTTCTACGCATGCCCTTTGGGCTAACAGGGCTAACAAGTAAAAAAGGAATGAAGCATTTAATCAATTCGTTTATAATTCGCAACTAGTTTAGGTCCGCAAGATAACTGGAATCGATTGACGCTCGAAATGTGAAATAGTTTATTAACGCTGAACAGAACACAAGAGATTTGGTTAACGCTTAACTTCTGGGAAATTCATGGGACATTGACATGCTAGCATGGGGGGGATTGGCGATGGGACCAGTCCATTTGATAGAACAATGCGTGCATACATAGTTAGAGGAACAGCTTCTGCTGGCAGCCCTTGCAGTACTTGAAGGCCTCCCGACGCTTGGCATTGCGGCGTCGCATCTTGACCAGCACATAGATGAGTCCCACCGAGGCCCAGGTGGCCTTGGCAACCTGTCTTGGAACCAGATTTTAGAGAAGTGCTTAGATACGAGCGATGCGTGTCGGAGACTTACGTTGGCACGTCCGCGCACAGTTTGGCTATCGAAGATCTTATTGAACTTGAAATAATCCGACATCGCGAGAGTTTGGACAGAATTGGGGGCTAAATACCTTTTCTTTATCTATTTTATGGATATATACTTGTCGAACGGGTTTTAATTCAAAGTCAAGCAATTTACTCGTTTTACTTTAATCCGTTGAATTTTTACTTATGGGGCATATTCAATGTATATCACAAGCACGAACTACTAGAGCACAGCCTACTCAGATCTCAGTCAGAGCTGTGGCATTTAAGGACATTTTCCAGCTCCTTGATTTTAAATAGAAAACTTTTGAGCCAAGGTTTAAACCAAAAACGCCCCAACCAATCAATTAAGGAGAAGCTAAACTTTACTGCTGCGGCGGCTGCTCGCTTTATTCGCTTGTGCTCGTCCAATAACAAGAGGTTCTAGTCGGAAGCTCCCGACTAGGGTATACCCTGAACCCTCTTCTTCCAACATCAAATGCATATATATATTCTATTTTAGAAGCTATATGTCAAGTTTCGTGACTCTAGCTCTTGATATTTACCAAAATTGCCCAAAAAACAGGATACCGATATCGATTTTTATCGATTGCTTAGAAACGGAGTAAGTTATCGATTATCGGAAATCAACTCGATCTGCGCGGGAACTAGGAGCACCTACATCTAAAGTTTCAAGTCTCTAGCTTTTATGGGTTCTGTCCGGACGGACGGCCGGACAGACAGTCGGACATGGCTAGATCGACTCGGCTATTGATGCTGATCAAGAATATATACCCTTATACCCATTTTTAATGGGTTCAGCGCATAAAAACACAGACAAGTGTAAGGATAAGGAATGGAAGCGTCTACTCCTTTACATCAGGTATCTTGTTGTCGAACTGATAAACCTACTAGATCGAATTGTTCAATTTGAACTGTGCAATTTTCTTATAGATAATAGAAGCATACGTAAAGTTCAATTTTTTTTGCCTGAAAAAGCAATGAAGCAAGCAAAGACATATGATAAAATTTAAATAAATATTTCCATTTATATTAAATGAAGTGTCGCCCAAATAAATTTTTGTTCTGACAAATCCAAAATTTATTCTCGCGGCTCAACAATCATGTCTACTGAAATCGTAGATCGTGAGAATATAATGAGAATACATTGGGCATATATTAAGCGATTATGAGAACCATTCTATTATATTATTTGGCCACGTGCACTTATCTCTCAATCAGCTGTGTAATTCGAATAGATGCCAAATAGATATATGTTTGTTTCCCTAAATTATAGATGCAGAGCTGCAATTCCTAAAACGTTCATTAGGCAAATAGATAGCACTTAGGCTGAAGCACTTCATCATCGTCGGGCCAAAAATGATGCTCGACATGAGGTTAAGTGAAGCGAGAAGCGATTATATGTTGAACAATAAGCGAGCTATTAGAGAAGCGATTTGCAAAGTGAAGCGAAGGGAGAAGCACAAGAAAAAGGTGAAGTTAAAGGAGGAAGCGAAGGGAGAAGTAAACGAAAACGGGTAAAGTTTAAGGAGAAAGCGCAGGGAGAAGCAAACAAAAACAGATAAAGTTTAAGGAGGAAAAGGAGGAAGGAAGAAGCAAAAAAAAAAAGATAAAGTTAAAAAGAAAGGCAAAGTAAACAATATTATGAAGCGAGAAGCGGGCAAGTACCTCTGGAAAATGTATTGGTCAAAGCAAACAGAGAAGCTTGGCGAAAGATTAAGAGAATAAGAGAGAAGCAAAGAAAGAAGCAAAGCGAGTAGCAAAGTTAGGAGTAAAGAGATAAGCAGAAGATTATCGTGAGAAGCGCATTAAACTTAAATAATTTCTTAACAATTTGCGAAAGCAATCAAATAGTAAAATACAGGAAGAAGCAAAGCAATAAGCAAAGCTAAATATTACGAAAAGCCAAGCGAGAAACTTATTAAGATTTCAAAAATGCTTTCAAAATGTTTAAAGCATATCTAAAAGTAAAAGTTAAGCAAGAAGCAAAGCTGAAGGCAAAGGAAGAAGCAGAGAGAACAAGGTGAGAAGCTCACTAAATACTTATTAGTGAAGTTAGAGCTAGAGGGAGAAGACGGCAGCATATATTGGTCAATAAGAAGGGAAAAGCAAAGCGAGAAGCGAAGCGGGCAACGTAGCTTTAAGCAAAGGAAGAAACTGAGAGAGTGAAGCTAGAATCGTATTAAATGTGAGTAAATACCAATTAGTGTACATCAAATTAAGTAAGAGCTGGAAGGAGAAGCTTTTTAATGTGCCAGTTAAATGTGAAGGGAGAAGCAGGATAGCTGTCTATAGACGTGAAGGAAGAAGCAAAGGAAGTAAAATTAAATAAAAAGAAAACAAAACAGAGGGCGCAGGGCGTGTAATGAAAGGTATCGAGGCATTCGGAAGTCGCGAAGCGAAAGCCCTAGTAGACTTAATCAGCTGGGCGTCATTCCAACCAGATGAAATGAATGTGATGTATGTGAAATGTGGATGGAATTGGAGTTCGCTTGTTGCAAACGCTATCTGAACCCCAAAGATCTTGTTGACCCTCGCGTGCGCAACTCAATTAAATGAGAGAGAGAGAGGGAGAGAGACGTGGGTAATTATAGTGCAAATGTGTCTGGCCGCATATAGAGATACGGATGATGTTGAATAGGCTGGTGATGATGGGTGTTTAACTATGGGGCGTGGATCGCTTGGCTAGTGCGGCTGGTGTTGGTCCTACCCCAATGTGGCGTGCCCCAGACAATGGGCAACAGTCCTTGTTCTCGGCCAATCGGACATGCCCATTGGCATGCCACAAATATATGCTATTAGGCGCCTCAAATGATCCGCCCCGGACTCATTTAAATATCAATGCAAATATCGTATAAAAATGGACCGAATATCGAATGCCGGCAACATATTGGCTGGATCTGTCGGCGCCATGAGTTATCCACACCAACTGATTGGCTGCTGTCTTCTGCTTCTGTTGGGTCTGCCCCTCTGCCGGGCGGGTGTATGTGGACAGCTTGTTAACTTTTTTTTTTTTGAAGATCTTGTTGACAATATTCCATTTTGCAGGCAACCGAGGAACAGATGTGGGCCGCCGGCAGGCTAATGCGCGACGTCTGCCAGCCCAAGTTTCCGAAGATTACGCCGGACATAGCCGATGGCATACAGAAGGGCAATCTGCCGGATGACAAGGATGCCAAATGCTACATTAACTGTGTCATGGAAATGATGCAAACGGTGAGTCGAACTTTGCCAGGTACCTTCCTTCCGGTTGCCATCCACCTCTTATCTCCACTCTCGCTCTGCGCGCAGATGAAGAAGGGCAAATTCCAGATGGAGTCAACGCTGAAGCAGGTGGAGCTCCTGATGCCGGACAGCTATAAGCCATCCTATCGCAAGGGCATCGGCGAGTGCAAGGATGCCGCCGCCGGGATCAAGAACAACTGCGATGCGGCGCATGCTCTGCTCAGCTGTTTCCGGGACAAGATTGAAATCTTTGTGTTCCCCTGATACATATATATATATATATATGGCTATATATCACGCTCCAGTTGGTCACGTGCCTATGAATAAAAATTCGACTTGAACTGTAAATTGTGGCGCATTTTGATTGGTTTCCACAGCTTTACAGAGATCAATCTATGCCGGTGACATGGCATGGTCATGTCGATCGTGGCATTGCGATCTGTTGGCTTGGCTATAAAAGCTACTGCCCGATCATGGAGCAGGCCAGATAGCGTCCAAGTGTGCACAATTCGATATGATGAAGCAAAAGCAGAAGCAACAGACCTGGCTGAGCACAATGCTGCTGCTGCTGGCCTGCGCCGGCGCCTGGCTGAGCCTGGCCCATGCCGAGGAGGAGGAGGAGACGGCCTCCATGACATTGAACGAGGTCGTTGAGCTGATAGAACCCTTCGCCCAGGGCTGTGATCCCAAGCCGGAGCGCGGTAAGTATGCCAGGCCTTAGTATCTCAGGCGCACGTGCTCAACCGAAACCCACTCTCCCGATCTCAGGGCACATCGAGGAGATGGTGCTCAACAAGCAGGACGCCTCTCATGAAAGCAAATGCTTCCGTCGCTGCATGCTGCACCAGTTCGAGGTGATGCCCGCGGGCAAGACCGAGTTCAACGAGGAGAAAACCCTGGACATGATGAACATGATGTTCTCCGACAGGCAGTCCGACTCCAAGACCATTTTCGCCAAATGCAATCAGGCCGGCAGCGGCCTCACCGACGAGTGAGTCCACAAACCGTGGCCAAGCGCCGTAACTCTAGCCAGCTAATCCTACCCTCTCCATTACACACACCAGATGCGAGGCGGCCCACAGCATCTCCATGTGCATGCTGAGCGAGATGCGCGACGCCAACTACAAGATACCCGATGTCAAGGAGTAGACGCGTCCAACCCTAATCCTTACACCTGGCCAGCATGTTTGTGTTTTTGTTTTTTTTTTTTTTTTTTTTGTGTTTTCGATATTTGTTTAACTCTTGGCACACGCACGCCCCAACTTAATTCAATTCAATTCAATTATTAATCATGCATAGAGTTCGTGATCCTGGTTCCTGGACATGCACAAGCGAATAAAAGCGAGCAGCAGTAAAGTCTAGCTTAACCTTGATTTAATGGTTGGGGGCGCAATTGGGGCTTTAATGGGGCTTGTTAGCAATTTAGCTATATTCCAGCTAAATATGGCTGTTTTTAGAGAGCTGAGACTGGCTCGACTAAGGCTTCGAAGCAGCACCCCACCTGAACTGGTTTGTGAATAGGGCTTGGGAAAATAGCTTAAGCTATTTTCAAGCCAAACTTGGCTGTCTTCAGAGAGCAGAGACTGGCTCGATTTACGCTTCGAACCGGCTACCTGCCTGGAGATTCGGCTACATTCAACTCGGTTTTCCACCCAGCCACATCAGCCCAAGTTGGGCATTATATTTTCTTATATTTTCTAACAAGTTAATTTGTAATTTATAATTGCGCGTTCTATTGAGAATATTGCATGCTACACATGAAATCGCGGACCACATTCGATAGCTATCCAAATATATATATATATATATATATATAGCTTGGCATCAGAGCATGCATATTCAGCTTTCTAGCATACGACATGAAAACTAGTTCATTTTCTATTGAAAAGGAAGTAGTATATATCAATATGAATTACTTGATTTCAGGGCTGATCAATCGGATGTTGAACAAAAAAGTTTGAAACGATTTTCGCGATTTTTCCACGCATGCAAGTGGAATTTCACGAAAAGCTTAAGCAGAGCAATAAATGAAAACAAATCATGAGGCAACATGATTATATACATATTTTCGCGCTAAGCAAAAGTAGATAATACGAATTGGTTTATATACATATGTATATATCTTATATGATGTGGGATAAACGAAAAAGAAACAAGTAAGAGGTTCTAGTCGGGAGCTCCCGACTAGGGGATACCCTGAACCCTTTTATTCCAACATCAAATGCATATATATATATTCTATTTTAGAAGCTATATGTCAAGTTTCGTGACTCTAGCTCTTGATATTTACCAGAATTGCCCAAAAAACAGGATATCGATATCGATTTTTATCGATTGCTTGGAAACGGAGTAAGTTATCGATTATCGGAAACAAACTCGAACTGCGCGGGAACTAGGACCACCTACATCTAAAATTGCAAGGACGGACGGACGGACAGACAGACGGACATGGCTAGATCGACTCAGCTATTGATGCTGATCAAGAATATATATAGTTTATGGGGTCGGAGATGCTTCCTTCTGCCTGTTGCATACATTTGGATTTCGCACAAATTCAATATATACATATTATATATAATGCTGATTTTGGCGAGCTTTCCAATTTGAAATATTCTAAATATTTATAATATATTCTTTTTCGTATATCCGATTTCTAGTTAATATGGTATGTATATATAATTTCGAGTTGAAATTTTTTAATTATTTGATTAGGATATATAAACATGTATATATCTTAGATGAAGTGGAATATGCGAATTAGTAAATATACATTATATATATACGTATATATATATTATATTCTTTTTCGCATATCCCATTTATAGTAAACATGGGATGTACATACGTCTGTGTGCCCAGAAAGCTGATTCAGCTATTGTTTTTAGCTATTTTTGGCTAGTTTTTTTTTTTTTTTTTTTGTCGCGTCATTTGGCAACACTGGTCACCAGCTCAGCTTGACGCCGTTGCGCAGCATTTGCCGGCCGATGCACTGGTTCAGCTGATGTGCCGCCTCGCAGGGATCCTGGGCGCTGACGGCCCGATTACAGCTCTGTGCCAGGCTGCAGCTCAGCGTGACGGCCAGCTTGTTGTCATCGGTGACCTGGCTGGTCAGCTCCTGGACGCGGCGCAAGTTTAGCTTGTTGCTGCTGCTGTCCATCTGCAGGTGAGGGGGGCGAAGAGAGAGAGAGAGGGGTTGGCGTTAGACATGTGCGACATCGTTATTACAGCACATTTACATACAATTTGAATGCCCTTGAGAACGCACTCGACCAGGCACTTCTCCTGCTCGGTGGGGCGCGGCTCACGGATTAACGAGCGCTGCGGCGACGACATCTGCAGCTGCTTCAGGCAGCTCTTTTTGGTGTGATCAATCATCTGCTGCACCTCCGGCAAATTGCGATCGAGCAGCTTGGAGAGGGGCTCATTGCTGCGCGCACCAAACAAACGACTCAGATCGAAGCCCGGCGTTTGCGCCTGCGCTTGGACGCACTGCTGCCAGCTGCAGCCGATCAATGCAAATAACAAGAGCAGCGTATTGTACAACATCATCTTGGGGCTCATCTGTGGCTGCCAATATGTCTGCACGGGCTTTTATATGGAGCTCTTTTAGACGAATAACCTTCAGCACGTTTATGCCCAAATTGCGCTGACGCCACAAATGCGGGCGTGGCTCAAGTTCAAGATGCATCGTTGTCATTGCCATTCTCATTCCACACACATCACAAATCACAAATAAACAAATTAAAAACACGCACATTAACCACAAATAACTGCATTTGCATGTAAACGTGTTTCTATGCGAATACATGTGCAAAGTTACGAATATACACGTGCATGCATGTGTGCGTGTGTGTAACGTTTATTTGCAATTGCAGTGTTATTAACAATCAGTACTATAATTAATTTTCTAGATTATATTCTTTCTTCTTGAACACTTTTCAACTGTAACACTTCAGCAAAGAAAAAAAAAAGATCATGCACAGAATTCGTATAAAGTAAGACGCGAGCAAAGAACAACTCAACGAAAGTACGTACATGTATGTATGTATGTGCATATCAACGGGATCAGCTTCTCGCTGCTCTCATATGCACACACACACACACACACACACACACAGATGAGCTTGCTAACAAAAACTACCGTTACCTTTTTTGCATTTCGTATGCAGCTTAAGTGCTAGGATGGTATGCTGTACGCAGACGTACATTTCTGTTATTGAATATCTATAACTTGTATATTATTTTTTATTATTTAAATAATTTTTGTAATGGACAGCAGTGAACATCAATGCTCTTACAGTTAAAAGATGGTGGAATCTGCCTTTAAGCAGTTAATTTAAGCACATGAGAGAGAAAGAGAAAGATTTGCCGGAGCGTGAAGTGCTTTGAAAGTGTAAAAGAGACGGGGAGACTGCGTGCTTGACTTAATAAGCACATGCAATAATAACAACATCGATAATGTATTAATTGTTTGTATACAAATAAATGTGTACTGAAAAATATCAAGTTCTAATCAATATTTATGTTCATTGGGTAATTAAATTAGAAATGTATATTATTCTATTTAACTGTCCATTTTCTATTGGATACATTAATTATAGATTTCACCATGAACGTGATGGGCAGATGTGACTTTTGATTGAGCTATTCGCATGATTTTGGGCTTGACTGTATAAGCATGGATATGCATGTATGTATGTATGTACTTAGATATGCCGCTTGCGGGCATCATAAATTTACTGTAAATCTGCAGTTTGCCTTTGCGCTGTCTTTCGCAGTCTTGTACACACACACACACACGCATACATAGAAATTTGGCAATATGGCGATTTTCAATGGAAATTGAAATGCATTTAACTGTTGTATGTTAAAATTGTTGTTACTCTTAGCATATGCAGGGTATTCGCTAGTCACGCCACGCTGCTGGATTATGTTTATTCAAACAGTTTATATTGATCGGTGTGAAAAGTCGAAATGATGACCCAGCTCATGTCAACTGTTGTTGTCCCTGTCTGTCATGGAGTCGGCCGTCAGAGAATTGTAAGCGCTTTTCATAGTATTTGGGATTTTCTGGTGTTGCGGCATTTAACAACTCGCATTTCCAGTTTGATTTGATTTCATGTCAGTCGCTAATTAAAATCGTAATTATCTATTAACAAAGGAAAAGCCTAGCGACGTGGGAGAGAGATGGAGCTAGGGGGCAGTGAGAGCGGGTCGGCGGCAGAGTTTTCACACGTCGCCCAACGGAGGGCATCTCCGGCACTGCTCGTCCAGATCGAGTGTCATGTGCTGCTCATATAGTGCAATTGCATCCCATGGCAATTGGCCATAATTGCGTTTAATTGCCGCCAGCTGACACTTGGCCCAGAGCTAGAGACGTCGCCGCAATCTGCCAAGTCAAATCGTTTGGCGAAACTTACTATAAAACGCTGGCGGCTTCCACAGCTCACATCCAAGTTATACAGCAACATGTCGCGTTTCGTTTGTTTGGCATTGCTCGTCGTCGTCCTGGCCGCTGTGGCTGTCTCTGCCAAGCCGCACGAGGAGATCAGCAAGGAGCATGCCCATGAAGTGGCCCAGGAGTGCAAAACGGAGACGGGCGCCACAGATGGTGCGTACTTCGAATTACTACCAACTGTTTGGCTAACCAAATATACTATCCATATTTCAGAGGATGTGGAGCACATGATGAAGCATGAGCCCGCCGAGTCGCAGGAGAGCAAGTGCCTGCGCGCCTGCATGTTAAAGAAGTTCGAGATTGTAAGTGCCAGCTGCTCAAGTTAGCGAATCATCTTTTACACCCACTCCTTCCAGATGGACGACGCTGGCAAGCTAAGCAAGGAGCACGCCCTGGAGCTGGTCAAGGTCATGAGCAAGGATGATGCCGATAAGGAGGCCGCCGGCGCTGACATTGTGGACAAGTGCGAGGCCATTGAGGTGCCCGAGGATCAGTGAGTGCCCGACGCATAAATCTGCCCCCGACTCTCAGCTAATTCATGTCCTTCTCTCCCAACTTAGCTGCGACGCGGCCGTTGCCTACGAGAGCTGCATTGTGGAGCATATGCGCGAGCACGGCCTCCCGCTGGAGGAGCACTAAAGCAGCACCACGCCTCACCACCTCGGCAGGAATGTTGCAAGCGTCCCTTGATATATGTGATCCGCAATTGTCTTTAATTTTTTTTTTTTTCTATGACCTATGCTATATATATGCGTCTAGTTCCTAAGTGCATGCGAATAAACTGCGCCAACTGCAGACTACATTTGCAATTGTTTTCCATTGACCGACTGCGCAAATACTCTGCTCACAGTGTCAGACAAGAGTTTAGTCAATAGGTAGCTACAAACTGTTCCTTTGCTATAGAACAAATGTATTACACTTTGTCTATATGATATAGTAGTCCGATCCGGCCTACTGCGCAAACAACTGTCCGCCACAAAAGCACGGATCTATGCCAGATCTCATCAAGATTGCTTCAAACAGTAAAAGCAACAAGATATTAATGTATAGATACATATTCGCTATGTATATATATTCTCTCTGTCTATATATTCTCTCTGTCTATATATTCTCTCTGTCTATATATTCTCTCTGTATTTATGTACTCTATGTATATACTATATACTCTGTGTATTCTCCATGCATATATATCCTCTGTGCACATATCTCCTCTGTATATATGCTCTCTGTGTATAAATTCCCCTCTATATCCTCTGTGTATATACTATACCATCTGTGTACATATATCCTCCTTGCATATATATCCTCCTTGCATATATATATCCTCCTTGCATATATACATCCTCCTTGCATATATATATCCTCCTTGCATATATATCCTCCTTGCATATATATCCTCCTTGCATATAAATATCCTCCTTGCATATATATATCCTCCTTGCATATATATCCTCCTTGCATATATATATCCTCCTTGCATATATATCCTCCCAGTGAATCTATCCTCTATGCTTAACGTTGATATATGCTCTTATGGAATCGGAGCACTCTTAAGGATACATGGATAGATAGTATGCGCTCCATTGTGCGGCTGAGCTGATCTTCAGCGGAACTCTCTCCAGGCCAACTGTCCAAATATCTAGGACATGGACATGGTTCACCTATGGAACGTCGAGTTAGGAAGCCAAGTTTCCGAGTGTGAGAAGAAAAAATGCGTTTCGATTTTAGATACGCGCTAACTTATAAATTCTATTTTTAAATATGTTTTATACACATATATATATGTATATATATATATCTTTATATGTGGTGTGTGTGTGTGTGTGTCGTGCAAAAAGGTGAATAAACATATTCCCTGACACGCTGTTAGGATTGCTGCTTGATTGCTTATAATTATTATTATTATTACAATGCATTTGTTATTGTATTTTTCTTTTATTATTATTATTATTATTTCGGTTGCCATTGGGCGTGGGCGTGGAACGGGAGAGGAGGGGAGGGGGTTTTTCTTTTGCCTGAATCTGACTCGAGAACTATAATTATTATTGCTTATGGACTATATGTTAGGGCTTATGTTTAATGGCTGCAACATGCACAGAAGCCACGCCCCCAGCTGCCACCACGACAGGGCAAGGAGGGGGTGAGGGGAATTCGGTTGCGTGCAGCGCTCTAGATCTAATAGTAAATCAGCTAATCAGCTAGACAGAGTACAAAAGACACACGACAAAATGGGCAATACGAAAAATATATGAAATGGAAAGAAAAAAAAAAACGTCTTAATTATCTATATATATATATATATACGTGTGTGTGTGTGTGTTCATATATGCTTAGAAAGTAAGTGGAAAATGGTTTGGATTCGGGCGGAGAGCCCGGAAAAAATGTGTGTGCAAAGATGTTGAAACTATTTTCTGGAATCGGCATCGATAACTTTTGGTTGGATTGTGATTTGTGAATTGTGTCTGTGTCGCTGAGGCCTTAAATGTTAAGGTTTCCAAGTTGTATATAATTGATTAATTTCTTGTTGCTTGAGGCAGGCAGGCAGTTATCAATGTTGCAGCGCTCCGAGTGTCCGTCCGATCAGTTCATCCGTGCGGAGCGTGCCCCGTTTCTCTTGGGTTTTTTTTCCGTTTTTATTTTATTTTCTTTTTTTTTGTATCATGTCTGCGCATTCGCATTTTAGAGAAAATAGTCGGCCTGTGGCTTCTTTGAGGGTATGCCGCGACTCTCCTGCGGTGCCGCCTCGAAAATAACAAAGTCGCGATGCAGGTACTCGTTCAGCTCCAATATGGCAGCCACATTGCCGCAGCTGCTCCAAAAGAGAATGCAACAGATTAGAGAAGAGCATTTTTTTTTTTGTGGGGTGTGGGGGTTGGGTGTGGGTCTGGTTGTGCTGCGCTTACCGATAGCAATAGTTGGGCGCTGACCAGACGGTCAGCACGGTTTCATTGAAGTGCCACTTGAAGCCCTCCATGACCAGCTGATGGGCGCGACAGATCATGTCGATGTCGTTGGTTCGATTGAACTGTGAGACGACATCGGAGCCAAATAGATAGCCGGCGCCGCGCGGTGATACACCCCAGCCGGTCTGATCCTCGGGATCGCTCCACAGCAGATCGCACATGGGACCGTCGTGCGGCACCTCCTGTTTGCGATCGATGCTCCTGATCTGATCCAAATACTGTATCGAGGGCGACAGGCCGCCGTGCACGCAAAATATCTTGCCATCAATAATGGCCGAGAGGCTGAGGTAGTCAAAGATTTCGGTACAATAGCGCCAGACGGCCGTCGAGCCGTACTTGCGCAGGCACTCATCATAGAAGCCGTACACCTGCGTTATCTGGCGAGATTCATGATTGCCCCGTATCAGCGTTATGCGATCCGGATAGCGCACCTTGAGCGCCAACAGCAGCAGGAATGTCTCGACACTGTAATAGCCGCGATCCACAAAATCGCCCATAAACAGATAGTTCTTTTCGGGCACATCGCCGCCCACCTTGAACAGCTCCTTCAGATCATAGAACTGGCCATGGATATCACCGCAAACGGTTACCGGCGAATCGACGCGCTGCACGTTGCCCTCCTCGACAAGAATTTCGCGCGCCTTGGCGCACAGGCCCTTCACCTCGTTCTCCTTGATTATCTCGCAGCGTTTCAGCTGCTCGATCTGGCGATCCAGGTCGCTGTAATCGGACATGGCGACGACAACCAAAAAAAAAAAAAAATCACAAAAATTCCAGCGTCAGGGGGAAGGGGGGGATTAGTCGGCGGCCGGGGAGCGTTGTTTGCACACTGAACGCCCTGCGCAAATGTTTGCGCGTTTGCCAGGCTGTGAGAGTTTACAAGAAATAAAGGAATACTATAATATTAAACAACGCAATCGGTTTGTTTCAATAGGTTTTGCACAGTTGTTTGTGTTTTTCTTCTTTTTTTATTTGCATCATCTGCATTTGTGTGTGTGTGTGTGTGTGTTTGTGTGGCTTGCGGCTAGCTTTTGCCGCGCGCGCGGTATTTGTGCGGCTTTTGCTGCTTCTATCGATGCTGCACGTTAGGCCCGCTAAAATGTGTATAAAACAAACTTACCCCAAATTAAATGCGGCAATTTCTTGAAATCGTTTGTTATATTAAAGCACTTGCACTCACGCTCACGACAAAAAAATGAACCATGATACGCTTGACGTCTTTATGGTAGTTTGTGGCGGCCAGGCGATAACCAATCGATGGCAAAACAATATTCAGACAAGGGTGTCAACTCTGCAGCGCTGCCAGACTGCTGAAAGCGTTACGATAACAACGATAATATATGCATAGGCTAACATTTTAAAATGTTGTCAATTGAAATTTGATTTGTCATTACGCAACTAAACAACAACACAGACACGCTTGCCCTAAACCATTAGCTAGCAATGGCTGAGCCAGAAACCACAGAGGCCAACCAGCCACGCATCGACAAACTGGAGGAGCAGGCACACCAAATGCATAAGGACCAGAAAGAGGTGGACATCTATCGGCACACCTTCATACGATACATGGGTGAGCGTAACCTTCACCAACTGCTGCTGACCATCATATCATCTCCGCTATATTTACCATTTCCAGGCTACAGCAACGAGGTGGGCGAGGCATTCCGTCCGCTTGTGCCCAAATCATTTGTAGCCGCATCCTATGGCATGGCCATTGGCTATGTGTGCACCGATACATTCGATAAGGCGCTGCGCCATCAAATGGCCGGCGGCTCCGATCGCGAGGTGCTGCTGATGGGCGCCGATGTGTTCACCTGGCAAATGCTGGCCTCTGTCCTAATACCCGGCCTGACCATAAATCGGTATAAGCTGCGCCCGTTGCGCCCGCTGCACCTGCTCCAACCGGTCCTTGCCTATATAATGATTTTCTGTTTTTTTGTCAGGATCACCGCGTTCAGCCGCTCCCTGCTGAAAAAGTCGCCCAGCATTGTGCTAAAGACGCTGCCGACGATCATTGGACTGGCGAGCATACCTCTGATAGTGCATCCCATTGACCACATGGTGGATCGCCTGATGGACGCCACCTTTCGCAAAATGGTGCGGTGATAAGCCGCCGCCGCCGCCGCCGATGATCCTGGTCCTCAGCATGCGGAACATTCCAAAACGGTTCACTTGCTTCTTTTTTTTTTTTTTTTAAAAAATTCCTAACCCGTGAAGATTTGTATTTGATTAATTTTTTGTGTTTTTGGACAACTTGCGAGTGACAACTGGATACATAAAAAGCTTTCCAAGCATTCCCCATATGAGAACAGCTGGCGCTTGGTATTTACATTTGAATTTATTGCACCGATTTAGACAATTCAACGCGGATTACAAAAATAGCTGTGGATAATCTATTGGATACATACGGCGGACGGCGCAACGTTGCCTAGTAATAGCCATCCTCATCATCGGAGTCGATTAGATAGGGACTGTCGAGGGCGCCCAGGCCGGCGGCGACGCCGCCCTCGTTGGCCGTCGATAGCTTTGTGCGCAGCATATGGCCGGCTTGATAATTGTGGACAATGTGCTCGGCATCGCCGATGACGACACCAAAGATGCCCAGCTCGGACACCATGTCGACTATCTGGGGCGGCATAGCGCTGCCCGGACGCACCATATAGCCCTGCGACAGCGGCGGATGTATCAGATCCATAAGTATCCAAGCGGAGCGCTCCACGCGTGACATGCGCTGCAAACGGATGCGTATGAGATGCAGTTGCGCATTTAGATCGTATAGGATTCGTGCGGCTATAACATACCTTCAGTGCGTCCGGAATGTCCAAGCCGTAGACGTTGTTGCCGCCGCCCTCGCGCTGCGGCTTCAGCACAAATTTCTCGGGCGTGCGCAGCGCCATCTCATAGTTGGCATTGCCCGCCTCGTTGTCGTCCAGCGAATAGAGGCCGGTGAAGATTTTGCCAACGGCCTTCATCTCCTCCGGATCGTTAATGAAACGCTCCAGCACCGAGGGCTGTGCCAGCGCCTGTTGCACCTTCTTGGTGCCGGCCAAATGATAATGGATCGATGGGCATTTGATGGCCAGCGATGTCTCCATCAAATAGCGTGCATCCCACTCACCCTGCGACGGATAATGGCCCGGCTCATAGCCGGCGCGGAAATAGATGACGGCCACCTCGGTGCTGCCACTGCAAAGGCAGAGAGAGAGAGAGAGAGAGAATGGAGTTCGTCTAGTTGGAATCTTGTCAAGATTATACGCACAGCAGCAGCTCCTTGTGCTGGCCCAGCTTGCCGTCGCGATGCACCTCGGTCAATGTGCGGCGCAGCACTTTGATGTGCGGATATGTCTCCCGTATGTAGAACTCATGGAAACGCTGATCGCATATGTTGTAGGAGACTTCCTCAATGATGAACAGGATGACGGCCTGCGGCTTGGCGTATATATCCCAAGCCTTGACCATGCCATCGCACAGGCCAGCTAGCGCGTCGTTTTTCGGCATCTGCCGCAGGGAGAGAGAGAGAGAGAGTGTGTGAGAGAGGGAATGTATAAGAGAGCGCGCTGCTGAGGCAAGACACTACAGTGAAAGCTCGCCTGGACGAACAACTGCACTTCAATCTGGCTGAAAAGATCTCTCTGCACAGTTGGCCATTATTGGAGTGTTCACTGTATTGATATACATATGTATGTACATATATGCTAGATACTCACGCGCTGCAGCTTCTCGGCATGGCCCAGTTCTCGCAGAACGAAGCTGTGGGCAGGTTGAAAGAGAGGGCGACGGCGACGGCGACGGCGGCGGCAAAAGGAAAAACAAATTAGTAATTTGTACAGTTAAGAAACAAAAATAGAGAGAGAGAGAGAGAGAGAGTTTACAAGAACAAGAACAAACAATAACAAAAGTGACTAGTAAAAAAAAAATTAGGGGGGGGGGGGAGGGGGGAATATATATTATGTACAATACAAAAGTAAGTTAGCAGGCAAATATAGAGCGGGGATTACAAGCGGGTTTTTTTTTTGTTTTTTTTTTGGAATAGCATCACAAAGCTCAAGTCAAAGCCATAACCAAAAGCCAAAAAGTGTGTGACAGAGCGAGAGAGAGAGATAGAAAGCGGGAACAGTGAATTTGTGTGTGTGTGAGAGAGAGAGAGTAAGCAGACAGTAAATGAAAGAGTTGGAGAGCGAGAGAGAGAGTGCAAGTGCGAGTGCATGCCATTTACAGTTTGATGAGTGGGCGCGACCCTCAAATGGGCCAAATGTGCTTTGTAATTACGAGTGAATGGGCGCGGTAGGGGTGGGGGTGGGGTAGAGGGGTTGTACTGAAGTGCGTGCTGCTATGTATGTGTGTGTGTGTGTGTGTGCCTGTGTCGAATGCCGTTAGCAACGAATTTGACATAATATTCTAACGGAATTCGAAACAGGCTCAACTTGAACTATACTAAAAATATATAAAAAAAAAAATAGTGCATTATATAAACAGTGTGCTAAATTGAGAGTTGATGGCAGTGTCTATGTATGTGAGAGAAATATAATGTGTGCGTGTGAGTGTGTGAGTGTGTGAGAGAGAGAGAGAGAGAGAAGAGCGCATAATACTTCTGCAGAGGCACCAATTGTGTAGCAATGCCACCGAAACTGGAGGCAATCGTGTTGATTTCAACCTGCTTTATTGCACAGCCCTCGTACACGTGAGCCAAATAGTCAGAACGTAATAGACCGACGCTATAAGCCTGCAATTATGATCGTTATACATTATATATATATATATATTTTGTGTGTGGTATACATATGTATGTGTGTACAGTAGTAGCTGCTTAATCAAGTATTACATATGTATGCAGCAGCCCTTAGCCTAAACTAATCTTAGCTAATATTTAGTTGTTGTTGTTGTTTTTTTTTTTTTTAAACGGTATTTAATAGTAAAACGGTAACAACAAAAAAAAAAACCAAAATGAAAAGTAATGTGTTTAATTTAAAAAAAAAAAAAAATAATACCAACAAAATACTGATAGAGAGCGGGCAACGCTAACCGAAGGCGTCGAGCGTGTGTGTGTATGTGTGTGTGTGTGTGAGAGGCAGAGAATAAGAGGAGAAAGAGAGCGAGAGAGCAATGGAAGTGATAGCAATGCATATCGATACGATTTATCGATTTCGATTGGTTGATTCGATGAATTCATGTAACGGCTTATAAATGTCTGGCAAGGCGGCACGCAAGCGCCGGGCTAGCTCAAAGCAAACGATTTGTGTTTACAAATATCATTGATATATCAGTGTGAGTGTGTGTGTGTGTGTAGCTAAGCAGCAATCGTATATAGATTACACACACATACACGCACGCATGCACAAGGCCGCATTGGGCCAGAAACGCAATATGCATACATAACTGTTTCTAGAGAATTTCCCTTAGATCTGTTTTCCCTACAAATGTTGCTGTTGTTGCTATTGTTACAAATTCTTGGTATTTTTAATTGAATTCTTAGAAACTTCTAGGCATAAACAGAAATCTGAGCACGACTCATTGCATGAAGGTTATGCATGTGTGGGTGTGTGCGGTATCGAGTGTGTCTGTGTGTGTGTGTGTGTGTGTGTGCGTGAGTGTTTATAGTTGTGTGCGTAACTCATTTGGTTTCTACAGAGTTGGTTTTTTTTTTTTATATTTATATTTTGCGGTCATTTAATAGCTGGCAACTAGCGATAAGACCCAGCTGATTGAATGACGCAGCTAATTTAACCAGTTTCTAACTGTAACTGTAACTGTAAAAGAAAACAATACGAGCGACAACACGAAGGAGATAGGGAAGGGGTAGCCAGGAGGTGACGGACAAAAATTATAAGAACGTAAGAAGAGGCACAACTCATATATGCACTGGAAGAGGGAAATACGGTTAATATATACGCATAAATATATTATGTATGTGTATGTAGAAGAGATGCTAGGCTAGTTATAAGAGAAAAGCATTGCAAGCTTAGCAGGCGAGGCGGGGCGAGGCGGGGGGCGAGACGGAGCGGAACGGTTTTTTTTTTTGTGGATTGGACGAGCAGGCGGCGGTAGGCGGTAGGCGGAGGGCGGTTTGCGCTGGACGAGGAGGATCGGGGAAATAAAAACATATGCAGTTTTTTTTTTTTTGTTCAGCGTTTTGCAAGCAATTAACAGCTACGGTAAACAATTCAAAGGCTCAAAAACAAACACGTATATATAATGCAGCTATATAAATGCATAAAATAAAATCATAGATTAATAAAAATAATAATAATAATTAGCTGTACATGAATCATGGACATATATGTATAATAAAAGTTTAGCTGGCGATTCGCATTTGCATTGCCAGCATAAGAAATAACACAAGCCCAAGCACACACACGCACACACACATATACATGTAAGCAGGCTAACAAGAAGGTTCGTGTCAAAGTTGAGTCATTTTTTCACAAACCACAACACCTAAGTAATTAATGTCTGGTCTGTTATCGCTTGTAAACCGAATGATTTGTCAGCCCACTTCGGAAATAAACTCTTCAACCGAAACCCCAAAACATTTAAATTGGCCTGCTGGTGAAATAATCTTAGAGCTTTCTGGAGGTTTTTTATTTTATATTTATTCTCTGCTATCTTGCGATTAAGAAACGGCCTACTTCACGTGATCGTTTAACTATTTTCAGTTGTTCAATTGTATTTAAGCCCCATTTAGTTTCAAATTTATAAAGCTGGGTTAACCATCTAAAATATTTCTGGGTTAGATAGGATCTCAAGCACACTGCGATTAGATATAGCCAAATCTATATCTTGGCCAGCAAGTTCCCAAAGTTACGGACAGTATGTTTGTATTGAAATATTGGATCGATCAATAGGGCGTACAAAGTTTTTGTTTCCGATTATACCCTATCTATTCTACAGGGTACTCAGAGTACTCGCTCTCCTACTCAGAGTACTCGCTCTTCTATTGAGAGTATTCGGTCAAGTACTCAGAGTACTCGCTCTCCTATTCAAAGTACTCGTCGTACTCAGAGTACTCATTCTCGCACTCGGAGTACTCGTTCTCGTATTTAGAGAACTTGTTCTCCTACTCAGAGTACTCGCTTTACTACTCAAAGTACTCGTTCTTGCATGTAGAGTACTCGTTTCTACACGCATGTTGGGTTTTCAGTCTAGGTAGATCTTATAGAATAGCTCAGCCCAAGAATCTGTTTCTAGAGCTGATCTATAGTTTACTCTTTAATGTGTTTGTGTGTGTGTGTGTGTTTCTGGGTGTGTGTACATTTGTGTGTGAATGGCTTTGGTTAGGCTTCGGCATATACAGGCAATGCGAGTGTATATATGATAGAGATATAAATTGGTGGAGAGATAGAGAGAAGAGAAGAGAGAGAGAGAGAGAGAGAAAGAGTGAGTGAGAGAGAGAGAGAGAGAGAGACAGCACCTTTGTATGGTTTTACTTGCTGGTCCCAAATGGCCAAAACCCGATGCTATCGTATTGATCTCGACTTGTTTCCAGCAGCAATAGGCCGATGAGGTGCACCCGCCAACTTTGGCGGGGTTTGCCTTGGTTTTGGTTTTCGCCTTTGCGTCCTTTGCCCGCCGCTGCTCCTGCTCCTCCACATCCGCATCCACATCGTCGTCGTCGCCACCGCCAGCGCTCGAGTCCAACAGGGGCGACAGCTCCGGGCAGCGGGACTCCAGCATCAGATCGCTGCGCAGCATGCCCAACGAGATGCGCTTTGGTGGGCGAATGGGTGTGTGCGAGAGTGTGTGTGTGTGTTTGTGTGTGTGAGAGAGTGTGAATCGGTATACGATTACGATAACGATAACGATTACGATAAAACGAGCAACACAAAATGTGATATTCGGTTCGGTTTCGGTTTCGGAATCGGTTTTTGTTTTTCGGTTCGATTCAAATCGGGTTTGGCGCAAATTGTTAGGTTGGGTTTTTGGTTTTTTTTGTTTTTTTTTGGAGGAAAGCAGAAAATGTCAAATCAATGCGTGAGTAAATTTTCTTCTTTTTTTTTTTGTTTAGTTTGGATAGATAAAACATTAAGCTGGGCCATATCAACAGCGAGAACAACAATAACAACAACGAGCAGCACCACAAGAGAGAGAGAGAGAGAGAGAGGGAGAGAAAGCGAAAAGAAAAAAAGAAAAAGGAAACTAATAAATTGAAGGAAATTTAAAAAATATATTTAACGAAATCAGTTTTGATTAACAGCAGCAGCAGCGGCATAGGCAGCGCAGCAGCAGAGGCAGAGCAGCAGCAGCGCAGCAGATGCCATGTGCTCGAGTTCAGGATGTGCGCATAAATCAAGTGGCAACGCTTGAGATTAACTGTTAGCCGATGGGGCTACCTTGGCCATGGGATTTATGATGTCACGATAAGATAGCGAGCCAATGTCGTTTATGAATATGAGAGAAAGAAACAGACAGAGAGAGAGAGAAAGAGAGAGAGAGTGGGAGAAAGAGAGTGGGAGAGCAAGCGAGAAATAGCACTAACACCTGCACTAGCAGCCTAGGCCCTAAAGCTGGATATTGGACATGGTGCCGACATGGATGTGATTATGTGGTGCAAATATGCCAATGAGCTGGGAATGAAGCTGACAATGGGCATGGTTGGGCGTGGTTAGATGGATTGCAAACGAACATAAGCTGTCTCACCTGGGTAAAGCCATGGGCGAGCACCTTGCGATAGATATTGAACAGATTGGCCGTAAACTCATCCACTTTAATAGTCTCTGCCAGCGTTGTGGTTATGAACTCCTCATCGTGGGCCACATTGTGCATTAGGCGATTTATGATCGGTTGCAGGGCAATTGCCTTCTCGAACTCCTTGCGCGGAAAGGACGAGGGCACCAGCACAAAGGGCGCAAACTGTAAACAAAATCAGTGTTGAGTAACGCTCGCAGCAGCAGCAACAGCAGCAGCAATTTTGCACACTCACATTTAGCGAGTCCGGACTGAAGTTGGTCTTGGAACGCATGGCGGCGCCATGCATAATAGCATAGTCCTTGGCCTTGGCCGTCACCTCGAGCAGCTCGTCCGTGGCCAGCGGCAATTTGATGCAGCCACGCAACACGGGCGTATTATCGTCCACAGACATGCCTCCAAAAATACAAGGAATCCTTTAAGTAGCTAGGCCCGTTGTGCACTGCAATTCGATTGGTTGTCTCTTGCTCTTGCTCTTGCTCTTCTTGCTGTTGTTGTCCGCGTCAGCTGTTGATGCAAATGTCACGCTGTGCGTTCGGTTTTGCTGTTGCTGTTGTTGTTGTGGCTACCTGTTGCCGGCGCTGCTGCTGCTGCATGCATACGCGTCTCTGTGTTTACTGTACGTGGAATTTGTGGGGCCGCTTGCTCGACTCGAATGCTTTGGGAATTGAATTTCACAAAATGTTACAGCTCACGGCACAGTCGATTAACGATAGTTTTACTTATTTCAGATTTTTAATGGCGAGTTAGCAGCTGGCAGCTCTGTTAAACGGTGGAGTGCTCTGTTAGGGGCCTTAGCTCTGTTAAAAGTTGGATTGCTCTGTTAAACGGTGCAGTGCTCTGTTAAAAGTTTGAGTGCTCTGTTAGCTGTCAGCGCTATAAAACATTGAAGTTCTCTATTAGCAGCTTCAGCTCTGTTAAGCGGTGCAATGCTCTGTTAAAAGAATTCAGTTCTGTTAAATGTTGTTGAGTGCCCGTTAAAAGATTCAGCTCTGTTAAGAGTTGGAGTGCTCTGTTAGTAGACGTCGTCAAGTTCGCTGTCATTAGCCGGTGCTGTTAACTCGATATATCGCCTCGATATATTTTCGATACTTTGCAGCAGCAAGTGAAATATTTAAATATGTTTTTAGAATTAATTTAAGATGCATTACAAATTAACAATAAAAACATTTATATATATTCTTCAATTTACATTTGTATAACAAATACATGCAACTTTTGGTTCAAGCAATTAACCTAAATTGTTTCAATGAGCGTTAACAGTTCACTTGAGCAGCAACAGCTGCTGTTAATGTACTATCGATTATGCCTATCGGCGAGCAATGCACTTTTTCTTATCGAATTCAAATTGATTGAATGCGTTTGCTCACAGCTTAATTCTTAACTAGCTTTGGAAATAACATCAATTATTTTGGTTGGAAGTGCTTAAGGTAGTGTCGTTTTTAGGTCTCATTTGCAATTCGATTCGTCCTGTCAAGCTGTTCAACTTGTAAATTAAAGAAAAAATTAAATTCTTAACCAGACGGAACGCAAGTTTAAGTTTAAGAAGAGAATCCCAAAACGAAACGAATCCCGGAAGCAATGCCGCGCGGTAAGTTCTTAAACCACAAGGGGCGCAGTCGCCAGTTTACTCCGGTTGAAGAACTGCAACGTGAGCAGGAGCTGGAAGGGAGTCTAAAATCGATAGACGGCAACAACTTGGACGAGTGCGTCGAGGAGACCATATTCGATGGTGACAACAGCAACGACAACAGCCATGACAAGGTCATTGAGAGCGGCAATGGGATTACCAAGGGCAAAAAGCTGGGCGGAGCCGTTGAGGGCCTCATCGAGATCTCCAATCCGAATCGTCCGATCAAGAAATCCCAAAAGTACGCACTGCTCACCGACGAGGCCAAGGGCCGCCTGCTCGAGGATCCGCTAATCGATAAACGCCGTCGCGAGCGAGCCAGAGAAAAGCCGCGCTCCAACTCCAACCAAAAGACGACGAGCGAGGCGAACGCGGATCTCGCCCGTTTGGCGTTGGTGCGTAAAAAGCGGGAAGCCGCCGCCGAGCAGCGTCTGGCTGCCAAAAAGGAGAACAACAGCTACCAGGAGGCGACGCCATCGACGTCCAAATCGGATATATCCGTAAAGAAGAAGACGAACAAACACAAATCGGGAGGAACGGGCACCACAGATTTTCTGAAGAAGTCCAATGCCGACAACGAGAATCTCAGTAAATTTGTAAAGGGCCGCAATGGAAATAAACGAAATGTGAGCATGCAGGCATGAAAAAATGACAAAATGAGCGAATGAGAGAATGTTAACAAGAGAAAGGGCGAAATTAATTTAAAAAAAAATAAAAAAAAAAAACAAAGTAGGCCTGCTCGGGATTGCTGGCGCCCATATTATATACATATAATATGTATATAGATATATATATATATATATATATGTAGAATATATGTATATAAACCAGCCTTCAGTCATTTCGATTTCATTTCAAGTTCATTTCGATTTGTAAATTTTGAGTTACCTACACGAATAATAAAACAAATAAAAACTTAAGCAAAATTCTTTTGTATCTCAATCCACACAGACACACAGACACACACACAATAATACAAACAGTTCAAGCTGCGTTTCGGTGGATGCAACAGGTCTAAGCATTGATTAAATGAATACCTGATATTTTTCCAATTGCGGAATTGCCAAAGTGAGTGCCAAACAAAAGAATATGTATGAAAGCGTAACAAAAATAGTGTTGCAAATGCGCGCGCTCATACGATAGCCGTTTATCGATTGTATCGGCGCGAGCATTAGCCAACACTTGTCGGTCAGCTGCAAAATGCAGCACTGGCCAACAAACTGGCAGCCGCCGGCCGCACTGTCATCAATAAATTCAGTCTTTCCAGTTGCAGCAGCAGTGACATTAACAAGCAGCCGGCTGTTCAAAGAAAATTCAATTTTTTTCAATCAAAAAAGAAAAAAAAAAAAAGAAAAAGAAAAAAACCAACAAAAAAGAGGAGGGATTTTGTGTGTTTTTCTTTTTTTTTGTATTTTTTTTTGTACAAAACATGGAAGGCAAACCATTGAAACGCATGCGCTCCGATGACGATGAGAGTAACAATAATACGACCCAGAGCAAGGTTTGGGTTAACGAGAAAATCAACGATTCGCGCGATCCAGAGAAAATGAAAGCGGTGCACGGTGCGTAAAGGCAAAATAGAATTATTTAACAATTCTTATTGTTGAACAAACGAATTGCAGACAAAACGACCAAGATGCTGTTCAAGGCCGCCGCCAATTTGGATGCCAACAACAAGGAGACCGCCAGCACCAAGGACGAGGCCTGCAGTCAGCAGCAACAGCAACAACAGCAGCAACAACAACAGCCGCAACAACAACAACAGCAGCAGCAACAGCAGCAGCAGCAGCAGCAGCTGGCGCCAGTTGCCGCCAGTTCGCACAATCTGTGCGAACAATATCAGCTGATTGGCGACGGTAACATCATATTGCGCGACATGAATCCGGATGTCGCCAATCCGGGCCTGGAGCGCCGGCTATCCAATTGTTGCCAGCGGCCGACTCTTATACGCGGCACTTGTGTTAATTGTACGTTCGATTTGTGCGAGGAATGCGGCTATTCGTGCGTCGAGTGCAGCCAATTTATTTGCCGCACCTGTGTGACCCTGTTGTAAGTGCTGCCCATTTGTTTTACCCGTACAACAGCGTTGCCAGACACATATTCTGACTCCATTTTTCTTTCCATTGCAGCGGCAATCGTCCGGAGGAAGCTGAACATCCGTTGTGCGAGGTCTGCCAAATGTTTGTCGCCTAAAAGGGCTCATCACACACACACACCCACCCATACACTCGTCCACACACACTCAAGCAAGGCTTGCACTCGCGCACACACACAGACAGGCGCACATGAACGAACGAACGAACGAACGCTACCTGATACATGAATTATCAAATATTGAGCCAGAGATATATGAAATGGAAGTACAAGTACAAAACATGGTAACCAGGAGACAAAACAAAAAAGGGACTCATTATCATCAAATAATTTATATATATATTTATATGAACAACATCTTTTGCCAATATGTCGCAACCATCATAAAAGCTGTGCAGCTGCCTTGAAGCCAAATTAACTTCCCAGGCACAGTTCGAGCTAAGAACACTTTTCACGCACACAAACACAACACGCAACATGAAACACAGCAAAAAATTTCAATTCAAATTCAAATCAAATCCTCATTCAAATCATCAAATCAAAACAAAATCAATATCAAATCGAATCAAACGATAAAGTAACACATCGAAACTTGTGAATTCATCTAATTGCATGCTAATGGGGCGCACTGTGTCAAGCTCTTAAATGCAAATGGGGCCGCACTGCACAACTCTTGATTGCCAACAACAACTAAAATGGGGCGCACTGCAACACACACACATACATACACTGTAAAGCTCTCGCCGACTGCCTTAGGCTGTGTTACCCGCTCGCAAGCTTAAATCATGGGCACAGCTCAAAAAGAGAGACCCTTACACACGACAAAAAAAAACAAACGGAACACAACAACAAAATCAAAAATGTACGAACACAACAAGAAACAAAAAAGATGTTGCAATTATTTGATGTAAATCACATTTATTAATATTTAATAAAAAAAACCAACTAACTTTAGAGTAGAAAAAAGGCGTACTCTTTCGTTTCTCAGATCTGCCATGTCAAGCTATCAAATGCAAATGGGCAGCACTGCGAAACGCTTGACTGCGAAAAATGGGCCGCACTGGCAAGTTGCAGTTATTTGATGTTAATCATATTATTTAACTATTAAAAAAACCAACTAACTTAAGAGTAGAAAAAAGGCGCAAATGGAGTACTCACTCACTCTCGCTTCGTAGACCTTGCCTTGTCAAGCTCTTAAATGCAAATGGGCCGCACTGCACAACTCTTGATTGCAACAAATGGGCCGCACTGCCAAGTTGCAATTATTTGATGTAAATCACATTTATTAATTAAACCAACTTTAGAGTAGAAAAGAAAGGGAGCTGTTGCTGCCTAGACCTTGCCGCGGAACTTGTGATACTTGTCGTGCTCCTTGACCAGGCTCTGGTACATGCGGGCGCCCGCCTCGCTGCTGGCGCGCAATATAAAGTGTCCGGCGCGATGATCACAAATTCCGATCAGCTCATGACAGAAGCGATCCAAATGCATCTTGACCTAAAACGAGAAGCAACCAACTTAGTCTCTTCCTCTCGCTCTCTCTCTCTGTCGCGCGCGCTTACCTTCTCGAAGAGCGTGGTGGGCCGCTCGGTGGCAATCATTTGCTTGATGGTAAAGATGAGCAAAAAGGGCGCCACACGCTTCATGGCCAGCGCCTGAGGCCCGGCGGCAATGCCAGCCATGAGTGTGACCAATTTGAGCGCCAGCTCCGACAAACCATCCAGCTCCTCATCGGTCAGACTCTGGGCCTGCTTGCGTTCGCTGCGATAACAGACAATCGACTGCACCAGATCCTGGCAGAGCGCCGCCAGCTGCGGTGCACGATCCGACATGAGCGCTGCCTGCTGACGCAACAGCAACAGACAATTCTCGGCAAGCGCCGAATGCAGCTGCCGAAAGTTTGACCAGCTGCCGCCGGCCACAATGAAGCGTTTGATATTCACGTCCAGCATGCTGGCCAGCAGCGAGTCGAGCGTCTCGCCGGTCAGCGGCACGGTCCGGTTGCCGGCCAGGGCGCGCTGTGCCTCCAGCAGGCGCAGCACATGGCCGCAGTAGGCGGCGTCGCTTGCCGGCGGCAGACGCAGCGACACATTGCCGCTGATCAGCTCGAAGTGCTCGTTGAGCATCTGCAACGAAGTGGGCGAATATCAGTGTAAGAGCTACATTGGAGTATACATTAACTAACCGCTCCCTTGATGCTGCTCAGTGAGCATTTGGCGATCAGCGTGAGCAGGACGAGCACGTTCTGCAGGCTGGTGTGCTCGGCTTTTGTCTCCGGCCGACGCATTCCGTCCAGCTGTTGGCTGAGGCGTCGCAGCAGCAGCAGAAAATCCTCGTTGGTCTTGTAGCCAATAATTAGCTTGACGGCGGGCTCAATGCTGCCCATGTCCAGCGCCGATTCGGACGCAATGTCCGCGTTCAGCTGGCGCCAATAGCTGTCTAGCACAAACTCAATCTCGTCCTGGTCCAGATGCAGCAGCTGGCGATGCGTTAGAGCCACATTTAGCAGACGTATCGCATGCGCATTGCGATAATTGAGCTGCCACAAATGAAGCGAAGGAAAGAGAAGTTACAAAAAAGTTGAGGTTATAAATCAAATCTAACCTAACTCTGGCTGGCTTTACTAACGGTAAATGCTTAAGCTAACGGCATACAAATGTGACCAAATCGGAGCAGATAACTCAAGTGTGACCAAAAATGTTTAGTCTCTATAATAGTTGTAACAGTTGTAGATCAAGAACCGCGCCAGAGCCAAGCATAAAAATGTTATCGAAATAGAGTTAACAGTCGCATGTTAACAGCCACATGTTAGGTTTCTGTAACATACATATGTAATCCAGCTAATGTTATTAGGCTTACCGAGTGTCCAATGTAAATCTTGCAGATGCGCCGAAAGTTCTCATCGATGGGCTGTACGGAAGAGTCGCCGCTCGTTTGTGTTTTCTCCGGCACCTGCTCGTCCCGCTGCTGCTTGGCGGCACGATTGATGCAGCTGCTCAGATAGATGGCATAGCCGCTGAGGGTCTGCTGCACAAAGTCCTTGTAGACAGCCGGCGATTTCTTGTGCGAGCGGAACTTGTGCGCCACAAACTTGCCATAGATCTCGAGCAGCGGCTGCAGATGCCGTTGCATTCGTCGGTTCAGCACGCCCGTCGCGCTCGCCAGCGTCTCTATGGCCAGCAACAGCAGCCGGCAATGCGCCGGCGACAGCTGCGCCTGCTCGCGGAAGAGCGCCGCACAGCTGACCAGAAAGGCATCGCTGCCCGGCGCCAGACGGCGTATGCAGCGCCCGAAAAGTGTCTCATAGAAGCGCCAGGCGGTCGAGTCATCGCTGCCCTCCAGGGGCACCAGCTGCAGCAGCTCCTCCAGCTGCGGCAGGTGGCTGCAGAGCGGCAAAGGCTGGCCAAAGTGCAGCAGATCTGCAAAGAAGGGGAGGGTATTCAGGCTCAATCAGTCAGTAAATCAATCAATCAGTTGGCCAAACAGGACAGCTTGCCTAATATACAAGTTGTAGGATATATGCCAGCCATATATTCTCACCTTTAGCTTAAAATACAGCTATCTAGCTCTACAGCGCTGGGCTATCAATCAATGAAAGCGGTCAATCACAGTCAGTCAATCAGCACACACATATTAATTTTCTTATTACAGGGTATCAGTCAGTCGGATATTCTACCGAGCATTGATCATCAATCAGTCAATCACTTGATCAGTCAGTAACTCAATCAGTTGATATTCAGTTTACAGGATATAAGCTAGTCGGACATTATCGCAGATACATCAATCAATCTGTCAATCACAGTTAATCAATCATGAGAAACAGATTAAGGTGCATGGTACAGGGTATTTGCAAGTCGGATTTCCCACTAACTAGCTATCTAGTTCTAACGATTGCGACTATGAATTACATATCAATCAATCAATCAGGCATTAATCAATCAATCAATCAATCAGGCATCAATCAATCAACCACAGTTTACAGGGTATATGCCCATCGGATTTCCCACTAGCTATTGTGCAAAATGCAGCTATGCGTTGATTGTCAAACAGATGGCCGGCCCACAGGGTATATGCTAGTCGGATATTCCCCTTAAATTAATTCAATCAGGAGTAATGTTAGCTAATTTGCATATTAGAGGGTATCTGTCAGTATAGTATACCATGCTATGAAGCTGTAGCTTGATTGTCAATCAGTTAGGGTATACGCCAGTCGGATATTCCCCAAATCAAGACTCACCAATAAGCTGCTCGAGCAGCTGGTCGCCCAACTGCGTCAGCTCATCGCGCCGCACATCCTGATAAAGGCTGAAGATGAGCAAAAAGAGCCGCAACTTGATGCCGCTCTGGAGCTGGGCGAGCGGCAGCTGCTGCAGTGCCTCGACCAGTTGGCGTGTGGATTCCTCCGGCAGCGCTGGCCGCTTGCTGCTGGCGCAGTGCTGCCTCAGCGTCTGGGCCAGAGCGGACTCGTGCTCGGCCTGGGGCAGCTGTTTGGGCAGCAGCGCACCCTTGATCTTGGCCAGCTTCAGGCTGGCCGCGTACTCCTCGAGCAGCTGCAGCGCAAGCAGCTCCACGCACTCCGCATCCTCGGGCAGATGGGCGGCCAGCTGCTGCTGATGCTGCTGCTGGAGACGCAGCTGTTTCTGGTCGCGCGTCAGATGCATGGAGAGCTGCCACGGCAGCAGCTGGACAAGTGCATCCGGGCAGGGCTCCGCCCGCTGATTGGGCAACAGCAGCCAGCCGCTCTCGGCCAGCTGCAGCTCCAGGCGCTGCAATCGCTGCCGGCAAAGGGACTTGCCAAAATTGTGTACACGCTGCTGGATCAGCTCCCACTCGTCGGCGGATAGAAAGCGATGCAGCTGCGGCAGCTGCTCCACGGGCTGCGGCCGCGACAGTCCGTCCGGCCAGTAGTAGGCGAGCAGCAGCTCGAAGCTGTTGGCGCGCTCCACGCACTCGAGGAAGACGTTCATGGTGCGTCGATTGTGCTCACGTGCGAGCAGATAGCGTCCGAATTGCTGGAGCACCTGGATCGTATGCTGGCGCTGCTGTTCCAGCTCCGGCTGATGATGCTGCACCTGCTCCGCCATGCGTGTGCCCAGCAGATACTGCGCGAGCAGCGTGGCCTGCAGTTCGATGGCAAAGCTCAGATTCGGTGCGAGAACGGCGTTCGACTCGGGCTCGAGCAGCTCGGCAAAGCTAAAGAGCAACATCTTCCAAATGGCCAGCGAGGGCTTGAACATCAGCTGGCTGACAAGGCGGATGAAGGCGGCGCCCGCGGAGTGACTGGGCCAGGTCTGTGCCAGACGCTCCGAGCTGTGGTTCGAGCTGGAGCTGCAGTTAGAGCTGGCGCAGGAGCTATTCGTGGCGTATTTGAGTAGTAGCTGGACATAGCTGCAGTTGTCCAGCTGCTGCTGCGCCGCTTCCAGACTCTGGCGACTGCGCTTGGACTCTACGCCGCTGCTGCCGGCGGGCAGCGCAGGCAGCTCGAATTTGTGCAGCCATTCGCGCAGCGACTTGAGCAGCTGCATCACAAAGCGCTCGGTGTGGCTGAGCCGCCGGCACATGTCCAGCAGGAGTACAAGATACTCGGAGTAGAGGCGCAGCTCGAGCGCAT